TTTAAGTTTAGGGACCCTTAAAACGAATAAGTAGCCTCTAACTACATCTTTGGGATGAAATTTATAGAAGTTTGATATTTGACACTATCTTGGACGCCATCTTGAAATTGAGGCCTTTCCAGTTGTCAAACTTTGGTAAACTTTTGGTATGTTGATCAGCACACCTAACCCTACCAAAAAACGAAAAAAAACCTTTTGTAGGAATTTTTTGAGGGTTAGGTGGTTTATTTTCATATCTCCCTCTCAGGCTGATGAAAAATAAAAATGTCCGCCATTCTGTAATGGGTTGAGATAGAGAGGTCTGGTTTTCCCCGATATTCTTTAAAACTAATTTCCTGTAAAATCATGTGCTACTTGATAGTGGTTGCTGTTTAAACACTTTAAGTTACCTCCAGCTATTTGGGGGCGGGTAGTGAATTTCAAATTACCCACATAAAGAACTTTACTTTACCCTAGTGACGTGTATCAAAGCTTGTTTGAATATATGGGACCATTCACAAATTAACCAGGGGGTTAGACTATTATGGGACACCCGGTATTTATGTAAATATATACCTACTTCTGAAGGTTTCTGTCCTAACACCCAATTCGGCCGTTTCAATTTCGACCTATGCCCTCAGAGATTCAAAATATTCAAAGTGCTTTTAATAGCAATTATTGATTGGTCCCCATTGCAACCAATTAACTACTAAAGTTACTGTATCAGAACTTGTGGTGATGTGAACATTATCACCTGATAATATTTATTATTTGATTTGTTTGTAAATATTGTATTTGTTCTTAACTAAAACATGGTTGTAATTTTGAATGAATAAAAGCCATACTTTTGGTTTACTAAGTCTTTCTTACAACAATTTTATTCATTCATTGATAAACTCAGTTAGTGCTACATTACAATGGAGAAATTCCTTAGACCAGACAAATTGCAAATTGACCCGGAATCTCCAACTGCCTCAGAGGAATGGACGCACTGGTTACAAACATTCGAAGACTTTCTAACCATGACAGAATTTGTTGAAGACAAGGACAAACTGAAACTACTAACTAATCGATTATCTTTTACTACTTATAAATTTATCAAGGAATCTGAAACTTACCAAGACGCTTTGAGAGTTCTTAACTCAATTTACATCAAACAAAAGAATGAAATATTCTCAAGATATTTAGTAATGACTAGAAAACAGCAACAAGGTGAGACTATTGACAAATATGTGTCGGAACTGAAACTTTTGAGCCAAGATTGCGTTTTTGAAGCTGTTAATGCGATTCAATACAGGGATCATTACATTCGTGATGCTTTTATCAATGGCTTAGCCTTGTCATACATACGACAGAGACTATTTGAAAATAAAACTTTAGACCTAGCTGAAGCAGTGGAACAGTCTAGAGCTCTTGAAATGGCTCAAGCTCAAGTCGAGAGCTATCCAAAATCTATGTACGGAATGCAAACTTGTGCAACGAATGAATTGGCAAAGCAAGCTTGTCAGTACGAATTCCCACTACAACAAAAGGAAGAAGCGACTGTTTCCGCTATTAAAAATGTTGATGGCAAGTGTTATTTTTGTGGGCATGATAGACACTCTAGAGATCGCTGTCCAGCCAGAGAAGCAACTTGTGGGAAATGTAACAAGACAGGGCATTATGCGAGAGTCTGTAAAAGTAATCCAACTCAACATTTTAAAGTAAAACAGAAGACGTCTAGTACATCAGCTGCACTAATAGCAACTACACATAATACATCTGTATTGAAGGAGTGAATGTAGTTGAAAGTGAATGGCCTGAAAGCAAATTGCTTAATAGACACCGGGAGTACATCAAGCTTTGTAAACTTGAAATTTGTTCAGTTAAACAAAATTAAAATGTATAATGAAAGTGGACAAGTATCACTAGCTGCTTCTAATATGAAATCAAACGTCCACGGGTTTGTTAAAATCAACCTAAATCTGTTGAATCACAATTACAACAATTTTAAGTTGACTGTTCTTGAAGATCTTTGTACTGACGTGCTTATCGGACATGATATCATGAAACTCCACTCAAATATACAGGTTTGGTTTGGAGGTAAGAAACCTCCTCTGTTGGTGTGCTCCTGTGCCAAAGTTGAACCACCCAAACTATTCTGCAATTTAACTCCAGATTGTAAGCCAATAGCCACAAAATCACGACGTTACTCTGATGAAGATATGCAATTTATAAAACAAGAAATGGAAAGACTACAGACTGAGGAGATCATTGAACCTAGTTCGTCACCTTGGCGTGCACAAGTGTTGGTTGTTACAAACGACAAAGGGAAGAAGCGACTGTGTGTGGACTATTCGCAAACGATAAACAAATTTACTCTGTTAGACGCCTATCCCTTACCAAACATAGATGATCTAGTATCCACTGTAGCGACGAACAAGGTTTTTAGTGCCATTGATCTAAAGCAAGCATACTATCAAATACCAATTTCTGACGAAGAGAAGAAGTACACTGCTTTTGAGGCTGCTGGTCGTCTTTTTCAATTCAGAAGAATCCCATTTGGCGTAACCAACGGGGTGGCATGTTTTCAAAAGACCATGGACCAAATCATTAGAAAAGAAAAACTGAATGGAGTGTATGCCTATCTGGATGATTTGACCGTATGTGGAAAGGATCAAAAGGATCATGATGAGAATCTAAGAACATTTTTAGATGCTGTAACTAAGTATGGACTTGTAATCAACAACGAAAAGAGCAAGTTCAACCAGTCTTCAATAACCTTGTAGGGACATTTAGTTTCCCATAACTCTATTCGACCTGATCCAGATCGGCTAGAATCTCTACTGTCACTTCCTGTGCCCAAAGACCAAGTTTCACTAAAGCGAGTCCTAGGATTTTTCGCTCACTATTCAAAATGGATACATCGGTTTTCTGATAAAATAAGAAACCTGACACAAGTCAATTCTTTTCCTTTGTCACAGGAAGCGGTTGCAGATTTTGAAGCCCTCAAACTTGACATTGCAAACTCAGTAATTACTCCTAGGAATGGGCAGGAGCCACTGGTAGTGGAGACTGACGCATCTGACATAGCCGTGGCAGCAACTTTGAGTCAAGATAATCGGCCAATTGCTTTTTTCTCACGGACTCTAAACAAATCTGAGAAGCTGTATTCAGCTGTTGAAAAAGAAGCCGTTGCCATTGTCGAAGCCCTTCAAAAATGGAAATCATTTCTTATCGGAAGAGACTTCAGATTATACACGGATCAGCAAGCTTTATCATCTATCTTTGACAAGAGGCATACAAGCAAAATCAAGAACGATAAAGTTATGAGATGGCGACTAGAGCTAACACCTTATCAATATGAAATAGTGTACCGACCTGGTAGGGAGAATGTAAAAGCAGATACGCTCTCTCGGGCATGTGCGGTTCGCTGGGACAATGCTAAGTTGTTTGAATTACACAAATCTCTCTGCCATGGGAGTCACTCGAATGTTTCATTGGATTAAAACTAAAAATCTAAACTACACTCTGGATGATGTAAAAAGGATGACGTCAGCTTGTCAAACATGTGCAGAAGTGAAGCCAAGATTTCACCAATTCCAAGGCAAATTGATAAAGGCAACCACTCCCTTCGAACGTCTAAATATTGACTTTAAGGGCCCTCTTCCATCAACAACCAGAAACCGTTACCTTTTAACCATGGTGGACGAGTATTCTCGTTTTGTATTTGCTTACCCCTGTAAGGACATTAGTTCAGCAACAGTTATCAGATGTTTTTCAGATCTATTTTTTATGTTTGGAGCCCCGTCCTTTGTACATTCAGATAGAGGTTCATCTTTCATGTCGCGAGAGCTGACGGACTTTCTTCACAAGTACGGAGTAGCTACAAGTCATACGACACCTTATAACCCTAGAGGGAACTCTCAGATTGAACGCTTCAATGGAACAATATGGCGAACCATCCTACTAGCTTTGAAAAACCACAACCTGCCAGTTGCTGCATGGGAAGAAGTATTACAGGAGGCACTTCACTCAGTCAGATCTCTTTTATGCACTGCGAAAAACTGCACACCGCACGAAAGATTCTTTATACATAGCAGAAGATCTACCAATGGAGACTCCTTACCATCTTGGCTATCCGCTCCTGGTCCTGTCCTGCTTAGAAAGTTTGTAAGATCTAATAAATATGATGACCTTGTGGAGCCAGTTCAACTTTTGGAATCAAATCCACAGTACGCTCTCGTCAGAAGAAGAGATGGGTCAGAATCACAAGTATCCCTGAGACATCTTGCACCCGCTGGCCTACCTCCTGGTGATCTACCTCATGAAGACAACACTACTGAGAGATTGTTGAAAATATAAATTCAGACATTTACCCCAATGAAGTTCAAAATGAAACTAAACAAACGGTATCTCAGACCCCAACTTCAGAGACGGCTGTGGGGGAACTACGTCCAAAGAGGAATGTCAAGCCTCCGTCATATCTAAAGGATTACATATGCTATACCTACCTTGAAAACTAGTGGGGGAGAATGTGGTGATGTGAACATTATCACCTGATAATATTTATTATTTGATTTGTTTGTAAATATTGTATTTGTTCTTAACTAAAACATGGTTGTAATTTTGAATGAATAAAAGCCATACTTTTGGTTTACTAAGTCTTTCTTACAACAGAACTTAATGGTTGTGAAGTACGGAGGGTTAGTACACACATAATCACTGAGTCTGGGAGGGGTCAGATTGGGAACGTCAGGGCCTCGTGAGATTGTTGAGATTCGGGTTCCCTACTACCTGCTGTTGCCATACTAACACTAGCCCATAGACCTTCTAGCCATGAAAAAAATGACACAACCCCTATCGCTGTAAAATATAATGTTTGATCGTTAATGCAATTTCTATGATTTTTCCCATAGGATTTCAAAAGTGATTTTGTAATCATAAAAGTTGTAGAATGTTTAATTTTAGTGTCAAGTTAATGGGAGAAAGTATGTGTTAGTTTGCTGAATCAGTTTTTTTCAGAATTTCTTTTGTTTCAGAACAGTAAATGACGTAAGATTGCGACTCCGTCAGACCAGTGGCGGGGAGTCAGAGTCCCAACTGAGGTACCACAGTATTGTTGTGGTATTTCGCCCACGGAGCTCCAAAGGTGCTGAGTGGACAGAGCCCCACCACAATGGTGCTGTGGTTAACGTGATGGGGGACATAGCCGGGTATGCTAGGGCCGTGGTGGTAGGTAAGCTACAAATACACTTCTCCTTGTATGCATTAATCTACGCAATTTCACCAAACAATAACAATTACATTTAAGGATAATTGTTTGTAAAATGTGTATAATATATATATAATAGTGGTAGTAAAGCACCAACCATTAAATACACCTAAAAGAGAATCATTAAGTCAACATCTCCCCTTTACAAACAATTGACAGTAATGCGACTTTGTCTACTTGAGGAAAATGAAAACGGATATGAGCGGATTGGCACCACACGCAGCTATGGGAATGAAATGAAATGATATATGTTTATTTATCCCAATTACATCACTAAATGATAAATAAAACAGAGAGCAAGATTATAACTAGTGCTAACTAAACTTGCGTTATTTTCAGCAATATTAGCCGAGCCCCTGTTCAAGAGATCTTCAGTTGTTTCACTAACTGGTGCACTTATTTATAGAAACAACAGTCAACCAGAAGGTAAATACTTTTTGATAATACTCAAATTATAATCGTACTACAGAGGCTAAAAATTTATTAAAATGTAGATAGATTTAACATATTAAAATTTACATGTGCGCAATCATTGGCAGTTCAGTCAGTATGTAAGAAAACTATTTTTAATGATTGGTCCTATAAATTGGTTTCTCAACATTTTTACCAGGCGTACTACTTTACAAGATAAAAATATATAAGTACCACCTACATGGAGGTAATTATGTTTGGGATAAATTTAACATTTTGCTAAATTAAGTACAGTAACCCTGTTTCCAAACATGAATAGAAATCATTCTCAAAAAGGTAACGTTTTGGATATTAATTTGAAATTGTATGATTTTGATCATATTAATCGTGAGTTTTCTCTCATATTAATTGATTGCTGTATCTCAGGTTATTTTGACAGAATAATCTTGTTATGGTTCTAAATTCTTGTTTATTTAAAAATGAAAAGACGCTAATCTTAGTTTTGTAACACTGACTGTCCGTGGGCCACTGGCTCCCCACCGCAGTCCCGCGACACACGCTCGGTTTGTTGTGACTGTAAGTAATATTGCAGCCTGATTTAGGTAGGTAAACCACTCTTAAAGGTGTAGATCTAAAAGCAATATGTTTACTGTAAATAGGTTGTTTTATTTGCCTAATAACTGTCTCAAACAAACATAATCTTTGTGAACAGTAAAAGGGTATTGCATTATTTGTTTTATCTTGAAATCTAGTCTTAGTCTTAGACCCTAATAGGATACGCAATTTGCGCACAGGTCCATCTCATACAAAATAATCCAATAGTATTAGTAGACTCATGTAATGAAAATGAGTTGAAGGCTTTAGTGGAACAAAACATTACCAATTATTATGTTTCTGCAATAAAACTTTACCATGCAAGTTGTTTGTACAAGTGGCACACAATTTGAACATTAAAGTCTTTACATGTTTGGGACCTCCATTTGTAAATTAGAGAACTACTCGTAGTATGCATGTTCATTTAGTCTCAGTGCATAGTTTGGATAAATCTTATACCCCAACCACAGAATATTTCTCTATCTTATTCTGCTCACGTTCACACAGTGACACAAAAATAAGACAGTGAAATTTGCTGATAAACTAGCCAAATTTGTTGCAATTCAAAAATGTTTTAAAATAAGATGCTTATTGTTCTGAAATTTTCATCAAAATTACATATAGTGTCAAGTAATATCCAAAATTCTGTTTATCAAACCAGGACTTTTTGTTTCAAGGTGAAACAATCCAAGATGTGTTAAGTGATGAAATAACCTTGGATGTAGATGAACTCATCCAAGGAACTCTAGTGACATTCTCTTCACAGAACACCGCTTCAGGTGGGTAAGATAGAAAAAATAAAACATCTCAACTAGATTGTTGACAAATTGTGTCATGATACACAAATATTTGAAAATATCATTATTTATTTACAGTTTTATACAGTTATACAATTGACAATAATTTTAACAAATCAAAATACTAAAACTATTATATAAAGTTATAACATCTTGTGATTTATCTAGGTAGTGTGTAAAAATATAACGTACCAACAATACAATCATAGGATATAGTGAGAGCATGTCCCGTAGAGTTACGTTATAGATAACCGTATATGTTTAGATGTCCAAAGAATCTTTTTTGGCTAGGTACCCCAATTTCCCCCCCTTGGTTCTAAGCATTTGGTTGCTTAGATTAATGAGTATGGCTAACTGTAATATGTAACCTTGGAACTTTAAGGTCTGATCTTTAGACAGTAGGTATGCTCCCAAACTACTAAAATTTTGTTTACTGATTCCAGCAGATGAAAATTCTACTTCATTTTAAAACAAATATATATATAGTTTTGAATGGTTAAAAGCCCTACCTATATCAACTAAATTAGCTCAAACACAGATTTTTAATCAAACATAGTAAAAACTTTTTACAAAACTGGGTGTTTCAGGTACATTGTTAACTTAAGTAGGTAATGCTGTACTACTCAGGCATCAAACTTCAAAATTCTAAAATTGCTTTCATCACAAAAGCGAACAAGAAGTCTTCCGGGGTACTCAAAAGTATTTATGATCGGTTTGTACAATACCAAATGAGACAACTTACGCAACCCCCACAGTTTGATTCCTGAATCAATATCCCACACAGTCAAATTTCCAGAAGAAAGAATAGAACAGTCATACAACAGCAAGAATTTGGGATCAAAATATTTTAAAATACAACCGTTTTTGTTGCTTTCATCGAGTTCAAAGCTATTTTCCTTTACATGGACCGAATCAGTTAAGGTCAGTACAGTTATTTTATTTCTTACTTTTAAAATTACTTTGTTACAGTCAAACCTTAGCTCATTATTGAGTATGGGGTTCCGTTCGAATGGGAAGTATAACTTGGCGAGAAGGCCAGTGTTAAGATTAAACACGGATATCTGAGATTTGTTCTCGCAGACGATGTGGAATGTGACAACAATGTCACCTTTCATAAGACACCATGCTGTTCTACTCTCAAACTGAGCTACTACCTTCACAAACTTCATTTCAACAAGACTAAACAAGCTTACATGGCACAGTTTATGTCTATCATCAATCAAATTGACTAAAAACTTGCCATTGTCTCCATCAAATAGAACCATTCCACCATTAAAATGATCCAGCACATTGCTTCCTCTGGTTTGTTGGACAAACCTCACAAAAGATTCTTGATAGATACTTTGATTTCTAACTTTTTTTGTGTTAATGTCCCATATATACATACACGCTGTTGCAATGTCACTTACATTTTCCTGGTATCCAATAAGAAATCTGTCATCCACTAAAATATATCGAACACCACTGACATAGTCGTCATTAGAGACCTTTTCATTTTCTGGAAGTATGTTCTTTCTATCAAACTTGAATCTGTAACTTAGCTGCAACTCGTTTTCTGGGTGCTTGAAGTTGAAAACTTTTACATAATTGGAACGACACGTTAAAACTTTATCTTGCAAAGGCCACAAAGCAAAAAAATGTTGCTGTTCATAATTAGAGTGTAGAAAAGGTTCATTAGTAATATTCCATACATTTATCTCATTTGACCCATAACAGAATAGCCAATGATTACCATGTTCATCAACAGAGTCCATTGACATATGACCGAGTTCTCCTGCAAATGTGTCAGTTGTGAATGTACCACTACTCCAATTTTTCCAGATACGTTTTTGTAAAAGCCAATGTTTCCTCCATTTGCAAGCATCTATGAAAGCAGGTATTTTACTGACTTGAACGGATGACAATTTAAAGTATTTTTCTGGATACTTGCAGCATTTTTTCCAAAATTTGTCACTGTTAAGTATCCGTCTCCATTTTTTGCATACATTAAAACAACTGTTTAAATCCTTACATGATAAGAATCCAGCAATAATTTCAAGCATTTCTTCAGGCAAATCTTCAATATTAGCTCTAGGTTGGTTTGATTCATTTTTGCGAGAATTTGTTTTATGACACAGAATTGTTTCTTTTTTCTTTGTGGCGTTCATGTTATAAAAACTGGCACTTGTTATTTTACGTGATAAAGTATTTGTTCATAGTTAATCCTTATAAGTTTCTGCGTGTCACCCTAAAAAAACAATAAAACAACATATTATTTTTTTGGCAAGTTAAAATTCTGCAGTTATAGTCAAGTAAGCTATTTGTACTTTTCACAATTTAATGCAGTAGACTTTCTCTAATTCGACTTTGATTGGTGTGATAGAAGTTTGGCCGGTTGGTCTGTTGGTCTCAGGAGGATGAAACACATAGTCTCAGGCGAATTACCTTAAACAGGATTCAACTTGAATGTTTAATTTTCAGACGTAGAAGTAAACTAAACAAAGTTAGGCCTATGTCAGTTTAGGTGATGGGTGCTTCTACACTTGATCGGTTGCACCTATGGTAAACAGTGTGTTAAACAATGCGTTTTGGTGATTTCGTAAGTGTATGTTTTTTTTCTCAACAGTATTAGAATGTTTTTGAGTGTGAACATTGAAAGTAAATGAGAGTTCTGTGTAAGGGTTTATTGTTAGAAAAATGTCAATTATAAAATGAGTGAAAAAACAAACACATTTTTTTGACAATGAAACAAATAATGACATTCTGGAGCGTCTAGAAAGGGGCAAATCAGTCCAGTGTTGAAGAAATATATCTGAGAGTGTAAACAAAATGACAATTCAATATAGAAATGTCAAAAGCTTAATTTTGGTAACTCAGGTCTTATGTGTTACATGAATATCAAAATAATGTAATTTGTTTATTTTCTAACCTTTGGTAGGCTACCTATTAACAACCTTTAATAGTACACCCGATTTGTCCGGCCATTTGGTAGTTAATATGGGAACTACCATGCAAAGTGATAGCCAATCTAGGGGCTTGACAGCACCCTAGGTGGCCGAACTAGAGAGGGTGTACTGTATTTAAGTTTTGTGGATTAAGCTTTAGATTATTTTGTAATTGGATAAAAAAAATATATATTTAGCTAATATAGCATGTATAATAGCTGTAAAGCATGTACTTAACAGCTGATAAGTTGATGTTCAAAGCATTACAATTTTTTACTTCTTCTCTCAATCCTCGAACCTCATTGGTCCAAACTTCTACTGTAAATTAACAAAACAATGCTCTTAAGTAAGTAAATAATACTGTAAAGTGAATCTTTTCAACTGTAAGAACTGAATTCTAAGAGACTCTAGCAACCAAATAAAGGAAATATGGAATATAATTATTAATAAAGAAATACAAGCAGACCTGATGTAAATGATAAAACACTCTCTTTAAAAACAGTTAATACTCTCTCGGACGATCCATTTTTGATTCGCAACACCCTCAAAACTATTTTACAAAACAAACCTACTACCAATCAACCGGCAACAAACAACAGGTCCGTAAAGTTGCCCTCCCCATAGAAGAACTAACGAACAACAAAACGTGTATCTAGTGCTCTTACGGTTCAGGAGCTATAACTAAAAACTGTGGTGTAGTAATATGTGGGGGTAGTAATGATGCCCCCAGTAGTATTGTGTGATCACTAACTTTCGAAACGGTACTAACGGTTAGTGCTCTTACGGTTCAGAAGCTATAACTAAAAAACTGTGGGGTAGGCCAACTTCACGGAAGTTAGTTATAGACATCCCAGAAACAAAAGGACCCTGGCGCCTTTTCGCGCCACACAGGTTTGGAGGGTACGCTATATCCACCAGCACGAACCATGTGATCTTTTAGTTTCTGCGCAGGTTCTTATTAACTGAGGGGAGGGTAACTTCCGTGGCCCCCAGATTTTTCGTTATAGCTCCTGGACCGTAAGAGCACTAACGATGGGAATTGAACCACTTACTAGCACTAACCGTTGGTACCGTTTTTAAAGTTAGTGCTTATAGAAGCTTCAACTCCCATTGTTAGTGCTCTTACGGTTCAGGAGCTATAATGAAAAAAACTGTTGGGGCCAACTTCACTGAAATTAGCCCCCCCTCCCCACCAGTAGTAATATGTGAGCAACTTTCAAAATGGTATCATTGGTTAGTGAATACTCCACAACAAACAACAATGATCTGGTATTTTAAGCCTAGTATGAATGGAGAAGAGTGTAGGATGAGTGGTGTGATATTTAATCTTGTTAGTGACTAAGGCCAGCACTTATTCCATAGACATTTAACACTTATTCCTTTGACATTGTTAATTTATAGCCCATACAGCTAATGGCAACTAAGGGACCTATAGTTTATAGTGGAATCCGAACCACATTTTTACCTAGGAATATACGAATTGGTCTAATTATCAGGATAGTACTGCGGATAGTCGTAGTATTCACTTGTGTGGACGTTAATCCACACCAGGGAGTATCGCATCCTATAAATATCCACAATTCGTGACCTCCTAGTAGCTGGATTACAGGACGACGCCATCCATCCCAGTCTGAGATATCAACCTTCAGACCAGTAACAATGGATGAGCTAAAACAAATATTTTCTAAACTACCACCAAATCTGGATTCAATGAAATATCAAATAAAGTAATTAAAAATTGTCAACAAGAAATTGGTTTTCCTCTACTCCACATCATCAACTCTTCAATAGACCAAGCAATAATACCTAACAGAATGAAATTGGCTACAGTCTACCCTAAACACAAGAAAGGTGACAGCTCTCAGAGATGGAAAATTAACGACCCATCTCAGTGATACAGTAGACCCCCTCTTAACCGACCCTAATGGGACCGGACCTAGGTCGGATAACTTAAAAGGTCGGTTAGAACGGGCAATCCCGAAAATCATAATATAATGAAGTGCTATTCATTTGGAATTATATAATCATTATTTTGAAGTCATACAATTGCATCATTTATAAAATAAACTACTCTTATCTCCTTTTTCGTTTTGTTAGAAAAGTCACAAGCACAAACACGGTTAAGTCAAATAGTCCTACTTTCAGTGGAATATATTATAGTACTAGGCAAGAGTCAATAAAAATTCCTATTTTAATAACTTTAGTACTGAAATGTATTAATTGATGCTTTCCAAATCCATCGTAATACAGTACAGAACCTATTGTCGAAATTAAAGATACAAGCAACCATTTTGTTACAAGACAGGATGTTTATTTATAGCCTTTCACTGGAGGCTCAAGGCACAAAAACTATCTTGACCTTGGAGTTGTTAACCCCCCTTCCCTGCCCTCCCTACAAGTTGGTTGTTTGTTTACTCCAGCGATAAGATTATCAGTTCTCAAAATCGTAATGCACTTTACGATGTTATAAATTTGCCGCACAGATAACAAATCAGATCAGATGTGCTCACAAACGATGATGACAAACTGACAATATGCTATATTTTTTGCGATCAATACAAAATAACTTATTCTTAGTCATATCCTGTGGAGATAAGCTATGGTTCAGCTCCTATAGCCGAGCGTGGGAGCGGAAATGCCGAGATTACTAGAAAGCGGCGGTTAAACCAAACTGCTCTCAAAGCAAGGTCGGTTAAAACAAACTGTATTATTTTACGATCGAAGGCGGATAATCTGATTATCGGTTAATACGAGGTCGGTTAAGAGGGGGTCTACTGTACCAATATTCTCCAAGCATCTTGAGAAGATTATCTACATTCAAATTAGCCTCTGGAATTTTTCTGGACTTACAAAAAGCTTTTGACAGTTTGGACCAAAATATTCAAATAAATAAGCTAGAGCAATTAAATATTACAGGAAAATCCCTAAAATGGATTAAAAATTATTTTGCAGACCAAAATCAACAAGTTGAAGTAATCCACTACAAAAATAGCATCGAAACAAAAATTAAATCATCCACAAAACTCACCGAACGAGGAATCCCTCAAGGCTCCATCCAAGGACCTCTGTATTTCATCATCTGTATCAACAGCTTCCCGGACTACATGTAAACAGAATAAACATGCATAATGTTTGCGGATGATACCACTATTCTCTACCCAGTATCTACAATACCGTCCTAAATACTGAGACAAAAAAAACTAGCTTCAAAAGTATGTTCCTCACTAAACCTCATTATAAATGAAAAAAAAACAGTCAATATAAACTTCTCAACAAAAACCAGACTAGCCTTCAGACTACAAGCTCAACATCAATCACAACACTGTATCAGAAACAAAATTTGTAGGGATCATCTTGGATAAAAACTTGAAGGAAAAAAAATATGAGTCAAAAACATATTGAACATCTAGAAAATAATCTGTCGTCAGTATCTTTACGCTGATAAGAAGAATACGCTCTATAACACACAAGAAAACTGCAAAAATAGCATATTTTTCCCTATTTTAAAGCCATTTGTGATTCGACATCATAGCGTGGGGAGTTTTGATAACCAGAAAGAAGACCTTGAATCAGTGTTGTATAGGACTGGGACACTTATAATGATCGTCGCCATTAGCTTACAAACAAGGTTTCCACTCACTGATGGCGCTCCAATGGCGATTGTGTAAAGTAAAAAAGTACAACTGTACAACGAGTAAAAAAATCACAACTGCAGTGGGGTGATTGTAAGTAATAGAGGTATACGGATGATGCTAAACTCGCTTTTCCAGTGTGTCACTTTCTGTTTCTACTCACCGTGTGATGCAATCGCTGGACCATACAGCCAATAGGCCTATAGCCCATCTCTTGGGTACGTACGCCTACCTACTTATTCATAACAACCTTTTCGATGACGATCCTTGATACCTGTAGGCTACTTTTTCATGGAATCCATGTAGTGATGTGGGCCGGGTAAATACCCAGTGGGTAGGTAAATATAAATTGGGTATTTACCTGGGTATTTACCCCAGGCCCGGGTAAAAACCCAAAAACTGGGTATTTATAATTTGTATTAAAGTTAGAGAAGATTGAGATGTTTTTTTGCAATTATTACCTTGTAAGGATAGCAAAATGATAATAAAATGTGTTAAACAAAATTTCATATGGTCACTACTAGCATTTTACTTCTCGGTATGATCGCCATAAATACCCAGGTCTGAGCATAAAGCATAATCGGCATAAATACCCTGGTCGCATGGTTGCACTGGTCCTGACTGCTTATGATTTTTTAATTTCTATGATAGATAGATGAATTTATTTTATTAAAAGTAAAGAAAAATAATTTGTAAAGTAATAATTATTATTTAGAAAGACAGAAATTTAACCTAGTAGTGGCCTATGTGTAAACAACTTAAGAAAATAATTAAAATTCAATTAATTTTTTCAGGCAGGATTTAATAATATTTTTGTTCTAGATCTTTTGTTGGTAAACTTAAGCTATACAAAAAAAAAAAATAAAAAATAAAAAACTAATTTTATAAACATGTGATACAAAAAATTTGAATCTATAGCACAATAAATCTTTCAACATTACATATATTATAGGCCCTAAGTTAGACCAAAAAACAGGAGATACATTTTTTAATAGGTTTATCCAAATATATTATTGTTCCCAACTAAGCGGTAACACAGAAAAGTTTAATGTAGACCCCCTCTTATCCGGACACCTTTTAACCGGACAATTTTTATCAGCCCATTGGTTTAACCTGACTAGATTGGCAAGAAGTGAGCGGTACTGAAACGACTGTTCTCGTGGGAAAGATTTAAGACCAGTGATCACGTATCTAAATACAATGCTCTCCTAAATTAAAGTCGAACATGACAGTACCAGTACACGGTTTCTGTTTTAACAAGTTTTTGGGGACGTTGGTTTAACCAGAAAACCCGTTATCTGGACTAGCCTCGGTCCCGAGGAGTCCGGATAAGAGGGAGTCTACTGTACATTCAGTATTCTGCCATTCTGCCTATATCAATCAGGCCTTGGGTCTGTCTTGCCTTCCAAGCCATTTACACAATACAAATTTTAACTAACAGTTTTAATAACAGTAGAAGTAGATTTAGGTTCACTATTTCTCTGATGAGGTGTTGTCTTGATTTCATAAAAAAAGTGCTAAATCATTAAATAAAAGGTACTAGCAATTCTGCAAAGCTTCAAGTTACTGTAAAAGGTGAAATAGACTATCCTAATTTATCATGTAATGATAACAATAACATATTTAGGGGTAGATAAAAATGAATTTCAATTGATTTCATAAATACCCAAAATACCCGGGTATTTATGGATTTTGGGTATTTACCCGGGTAAATACCCAGGGTATTTACCCCGAGTTTTAAATACCTGGGTATTTTACATCACTAAATCCATGGCCTAACTACTTAAGAAATAAAGTTACAAATGTCCAAAAACCCAACACATTTTGTGATTTTTGTCACATTCAACTGACTAAGATCCCCGTGCGTAGAACGGGCACACAGCTAGCCAATATTTAAATCCAATAAGTTACCGGTAAGTTATTTGTATCGATTAAAATGTATTAAGTTAGGCCTAATAAATTTGTATAAGTTACTTAAATGAAAATTTCTCCCAATAATAGGTATAACTTATTGCAGGTTCTCCACGAAACTGTGCCCGAAAAAACTTACGCCTGAGCCTTTATTATTGACTTTTTAGATGATGTAGCACTCATTGACCTGCTGCTGCAAAACTTGTACCTATTAAAAAAGAAAATCGCTTTAAGAGCCACTAACTCAATTGTGAGGTTGTGTGAGTGTGCTACAGTCTAATGTTCTGTTTTCACCATTAGTTTTTGTGACTATTTAGGCCTAGTATATGATACCTACATTGAGTTTGCTGTCGTAAATAAGTTAAGTAACTTATAAAAATTGCTAGGTTTATTATTAGGTCTATAATTGTATTTACAGTTCATGATTTGGTTACAAATGGGGTATTATTTACAATGCAACTCACTCTATCATAGCTCTTACAGTACATTCTACTAGGACTAGGCCTACACTAACTTTTATTTCATAAGTTGCTACAACGACAACGTAGTACAGGGAGATTGGTTGTCTGTTTGGTTTCATAGTAACTTAGCCTAAGGTAACTGATAAGTTAGGCTAAAGGCTAAAGGTGGATAACTTAGGGTAGCCTAATAAAGTTTCATTAATGATAGGCCTAGGCCTGAAGCCTTATGAATTGTAGGCTATATAACCTTTGACTATTAAATATAACATAACTCACCTGCAACTAAGATAATTGTAACCAACCTTTCTCGATTGAGAAAAATACTGTTAGTTTTTGCTATCCCAACAAACCCACAAACAAATGAAGACACTGTATTGTGTCGTCTACTCCTACTGTCACTTTTTTTGTCTGGTCTGGTCTGTCCACTGTCCACTCTCTTTCACGAAGCTCTCCCCTTCGGGGCCTTCCCGATCGTAACACCAACAACCACCCGCCACCGCGCCTTCCCCCACTACACCACCGCGCCGCCGGGTCTGACTTAGGGGAGGTACGAATGAGGCATTTAGTTCAAAATTCCTCCGTGAACAGCGCTGTAGTAGAGAGCACTTTGGCAATGAAGGTTATCGCAAAAATAGTTCTGTTCATAAAATAAAATTATAAATGTCTCAAATTCAATTTTATTATTATTTAATTATAAAATTAAACTATCATAACCTAACCGAACTAACCAAACTTGCTGATAAAGAAATAATATAACAAAAGTTTAGTAATCGGAAAAATAGTTCTGTTTATTAAATAAAACTAGAATTCGCTCAATTAAAATTTTGTAATGACTTAATAATAAAATTAAACTGTAATAACCGAACCAAACCAACCAAACATGCTGATAATAAAAAAATCTTGGACAAAAAGTTAATGCTACCAGTAGGATTCGAACCCGGGACTTAAAGTTTATCAGCCCGGCACGCTAACCATTAGACCACGGAGGCTGATGGCTACTGACAGTTTTCTTACGGTAATGTCGTTCCCTCAGCTAATAAGAAGCCCACAGCTGTCATCGTAGCCTCTTCTATACCTCCCCTGAGTAAATACCCGCGCCGCCGTGCCAAACAGAAACCCTTCCCTTCCCGACAGACCGCCACCGCCCACCACCGCTCGAACGAACACCGTTACCGCAACGATACGATCAAAGAAAATAGAACCTATACGATGTACAGTAACTCAATAATAACACAATAACTCGTTTATTGAACCAAGTAGACACAATTATTACATGTATAGGTTAGGTCAAAATAAGGGTATAGGTTTTACAGCCATCGGTCTCGGTGGTGTAGTGGATAGCGCACCGGGCTGATTATTCGAAGGTAGCCGGCTCGAAACTTACCGGAGGCATTAAGAGTGGGCAGTAGCAGTCGGCCATATTGGATTGATGCCCCATAAGAACAATGTAATCTTTTGAACCATATAGCGCCGTTATTTTTAAACATAGAACTACGTTTGATGTGTCATTGGAAAGAGAATACAATTCTACAGGGGGTTTGCTTTTTATTTTTTTGATTAAAGAAATATTAAAATAATTATAGCAAAAATACGCTTGTTTAAGTTTACAAATTTGTGGAGGATTTTCTAAAGGAATATTTGAAATTCGAAAAAGCAAACCCCCTACAAAATTTAATTATCTATCGAATAAAGTTTGTTTCAAGAAGATCCGACGTAAACTGTGCACGTGATATGGTTTAAGAAAATGCATGTTTTTGCTGCGCGTCGCGGCGGTATTTCGGCGTAGTAGTCTGGCAGATCTCCGTGAGATAGCAGCACGCTCGCGCATTTGGCGGGAGTTCAAATCAGGTTATTATGGTTCTACATTCATCATGCGCTACTAATTTTATAGCTTTTTTGATTTAATGTGGAACAAATATTGTTACGAAATTATTGTTATGATTATTGTTGTCATAGTTATAGTTATTGAAAGAAAGGAAATGAACTGGGGACAGTAAGAAATGGCGTGGTGTTGAATACATTTTAAATTTGAATACACGTATAAAATATGTTATAAATTTATCAAATACTATTTCTTAGTTCTATACTGATATAAGTACAAAACCAAAATGTGTACAATCAATATAAATGATATGCCAGAGCCTTCCTGTCCCACGCAATGATTGGAAACGAGATACAGTTTAGTATAAATATAAAATCTTTAAATACAATATATACATTTAAGGCATTAAATTATATTCGTTTCATGTGATAACGGGCAAATTTCATAATTTAACTAATATTTACAGATGTATTTGAGCGAATTAGTCTGATGGTATAAACAATTGTTATATTTATAAAATAAAATTTTAAATGCCTAAAATTCAATTATATAATTTATAATTATAAAATCAAACTGTCATAACCTATCCAAACTATAAACTATAACGATAATGAAGAAATCGAATCATAAAGTTTGTGCCTCCGGAGGTTTCGAGCCGGTAACCTTTAGAACGTTTCTCCGGTGCGATAACCACTACACCACCGAGACATGATGCAATTCTGTGGGGAACGCAATCTCCTATAGTGCGTTCACACAGCCGTGGCACCTGAGGGATTAGGAGGCCCCAAGGGTAGGGTTTCCATGGGGTGTCCTAATCCGTCAGGTGCCACGGCTGTGTGGACGGAGTATAAGGCCCCGGCCACACGAGGCGAATTTAAGCCGCGCGGCTTATCTTCGCGCGAAGTTAAGCCGCGCGAAGTGCCTGGCCACACGGGGCGGATGAACCGCTTCCTGTTGGGTTTTACAAGTATCAGTACTCTATTAAAACATAGTTCAGTTCACTCTTTTTAGTCATGGGCGAAACACTTATGTTAGTTTGTGCATTAAAAGCGTGTGGTGATCTGGAACGTTAACATAAATCATTGGGTCCATCCCTTGATAACGGAAAAACAATTTTTTGTGTTCCAAACCTTTTACGAGCACATGCAAAACCATAGTTCGGAGTTCATATGTATCAAACATTGTTTGAACATCACACAACCGGTAAAAAATACACAAAACAAACTCAAAAACCACTGGAAATGTCCGAAGAATATCTCCAATAAGCGCGGCTGCCGCGCGGTCGAACCGTATCGTGTGGCCACTCTCATAAGACTACGTGTGTCATCCCCTCCAACGCGGCTTAACTTCGCGCGGTCGGGGGACGACATGTTGCGGCTCAACCGCACATGCGGCTAAACTTCGCCTCGTGTGGCCACTCTCATTTGATTCAATGTGTTGTCGAAGCCCTTAACTTCGCGCGGCTTAACTTCGCGCGGTTAAACCGCCTCGTGTGGCCGGGGCCTAAGCCTCTAGGTCGATCACAGCATAGATAGCAACCCTACCCCCCACCTTGGCCGACGTCTCGGCCGTACACACTGTAACCACGAGACACATTGGACTCGCCCCACCCCTACACCTTGTATTTCTTATTTTCGCAAGTCACGTGATAATGTTGAAAAAACGCGCCAATTCCATCCTAGACATTATTGTGAACTGTGAGGTTATGTTGTAGGCTAGCAACCTATTTAGTCTGCTGTATCCACAAGTCCAGTGACGTTTAGAGTTCCCTAGTAATAATTCGTAGTTCTACTGACTTACAAATGTAGAAAGTCATTTCGTGTGTTTCTTTTTTACGGGTGTGGTATTATAGGAAATAAAAAACGACCGTTGCGAAGAAAGGTAAAAAACAGAGGTGGTGAAAGGTTGGCTGAGTGGAGAGTATTGAGAGATTTTGGTGTTGTGGGAAGTAGAAAAAGAAAACTAAGTAGTGATGTTGATGAACTGATTGCTGATGAGGCGATGAGTTACCTCTATGGCCCGGCGCATATTGAGACGCAGTCGGAGCAGCGCAGGGCAGTGTTTTGTAAACCGCATGTTCGCTAGGAAACGCGCATATTATGGCGCAGCGCAGGGCAGGGCAGGGCAGTCCCGCACGTGGACTGCGCGCACATGTGGTCGAGTACAAGTGTCTGTGTCGCATTGCTCACCTGCGCCGGGTTTACGCTTTACTAGTGTTTTGTGACGGATCTAGAGGATAATTAATAGAAATTTTGCATTTTTATCCAGTTTTTACGTTACCAGTCATAAGGTATTATATTGTCTGTGGTCATAGTAACAAATAGTAATTGCAAGAATGAAATTTGGGAGAAAATACGAAAAACATTAAACATTGCCAATTTTTTCGCCCTTTCTTTCTTGTTCTCTTGTGAAGAAGTAACAATAAATCTAGATCAGCACCTGAATCTGACTCAGAACTCAAATCCTAATATTTCACAACATGTTCACACAATAAACTGTATCACTCCTATACGAGAACTGCACGACACTGCTTCCCAATTTGCGATGTCAACTGTGCAACACAGACTTTTTGCCCAATTGCACCCTGTGCTGTGCTGCACTGCCAGTATCGTGCCACAAAGCTCAATACAATATGCGCCTGGGCTTTGTAGACAATTCCACGCAATCATCTGATCCTACTGACTGTTTGGGCAACTGTCATATTACCGGTCGTAGAATAGTTGACATTTGTTATTTAGTTGATCAATTTGTCAAACTAAGTTAACATGCGCCTCAATTCGGCTGTTCCCTCAGAAACCTGAAATTAGTTAGTGAAATAAAAAGAGGGCTTAGGAGTGGGTTTGTGTTTGATTGCAACATGTGCCACATCAAACAGACAATATGGAGTGAGCCTGAACCTCGGGAAAATGCAATGTCAATGGACATAAACAGTGCAGCAGTAGCCGGTTCTATTACCAATGGCGGAGGATTTGTCGCCTGAACGGCTGCTGTCTGCAATGAATGTTCGTGCCATGAACCGGAAAACATATGACAAACATGAAGAACCAATTTCGAAAGGTTGGGAGGAAACTTGCCATTTGGAAACCAAAAGGTCTAAAAGCTGTAAAAATTGATCGGGACGATGACTTTTGGGAAGTAAACATGAAAGAAAAACTTGAAACGTTTTATATGAAATGTTTACTTCCCGAACTTGTAAACTCACCTCACAATATTCATTTAGGCTAGGCCTATTCTATAAATGTTTAAAGTTAATAAGTTAACAAAGATATACGAATTGCAAAAGGTGTTTTATTGAAACAAATGAACAAACATGCAATGAAATTTAAAAGGCTTAACGTTATAATGAAAGGACTGACAATGGAGTGTGGGGGTTGAAATTAAAATGAAATAGAAGATAAGTTTTATAAGAAATTTTAAGTATTATAAGAAATGTTGATGTCCCAAGTAGCAGAAAAACGAGAAAAATTTGTTTCAATTTTAAACTTATATTAAAACTGTTATTAATATGAGTATAGTTGACAACCGGCAAAATTTAAAATATTTCAAAAATTGTTTTATAACTATATTGCAACAGTTTTACAACAATTTAAAAACTGTTTTGACAACAATTTTAAAATTGACTTTGCAACATGTTGAAAATTGTTTTCACATAGGACCAGCCATCCCATGGGCATATCCTAAACACGAAATAATAAAGATTTTGTGTGAAATGCATATATATCAGTTGAGCATTTTGATTAAATAGTTCATAAAAACAAATTTTGAGAAAAAACTAGAATCAAAATTATCTTCCCCAGCGGGTCTTGAACCCGGGACCTCCAAACTGTGAATTCCTTACCTTAGCACTGAACTATCTGTGATTGTTGATCATTTATGTTTTCAATCGGTCAAAGAGGAGCGGACAGTTGCAATGGTTGCAATAAATACTTTTGATACTATGATTATGTTTAGGCCTCAAGTTGTTGAATTGATTTTCTGGGAGTTGAGGAGGATACCGGTATTTGAATGTAGATGAATTAATTAACAATGCTAATGTTATTACAATTATTAAGATTAATTCATCTTCCCCCCTTAAATTGTTCAACTACAAAAAAATTTCTCAAATAACTGAAAAAAAACCAAAAATATTTGCATTATTATTATATGTTAAGCAGGTGTTCCATCACTGTATCTAGTATCACAACTATCACAATTAACGTCATCGGTAACTTATCACAAAAATCTGTAACTTATGCATTAAACAGATTGCAAATAACTTCATTCTGTGATGTTCTACAAGCCTAGTGTAAGTGTTTCACAAATTGTATGTTTGTCAAGTGTTGTTTTGGTTAGGCCTATGCCATCCACCATGATTGTAAAGTTGAACAGTATTTACGTTGGTATTTAGAAAACTTGATCTTCAACTAATGTTTCCAACATGTGTTGGATCCGATTTACCATTCATTAATGTAATTACTTAACTTGTTTCATTTTTTTAGTAATCTCAGAATTGATAATGTTACACCATGTACATATAACAGATCAATTTAATTAAATATTATTCACCCTGTTTTTGCTTATTTTTCATGAGCATTGTTCAGCCGGGTTTACACTATGTAGCAAAAACTGCTATATAACTTTTGCTATATAACATTGTTATATAACTTTTGCTATATAACATTGCTATATAACTTTTACGATACAAAAAAGTTACAGACAATTTTGTGATTCCGGTGCCCGTGCTATATGTTATATGTAGCACAACCTCATTTACATTATGTATCGAAAATGTCGAGCCGAAGAGACATTGTTCGAGGCAGCTATCACGGTGATCGGAAGTCAGAAGCGGAAGCGATCCATAATTAAAACGCGAAATAAGACGATGGTAGATTCATTCAAAAATGTTTTACGTATGACCACAACGCCGGTTGTCCACGGAACAGTTCAATTAAAGTTTATAATAGCATCCCGATCCCACGCACTGTCGCTTTACAGTCTTTCCATTGTAAACAAAGATCCCCGAGCAAAAACGTCCGTACACAGGAGGCTACAACTGTGAACTTTTGTGAACTGTTGACACTAAATGCTACATATAGCAGATGCTAGACGAAAAATATTTGTATAACATTGCTACATATAGCAATGTTAGATGTAGCATGCATTTCTTTTGATCTTTACCGACTCCCGATGGATAGCACAATTTTTGCTATATATAGCAGAATCTGCTACATATAGCAGTGTTATATAGCACTTTTGAAAAGTGACTTTTTCTACTTCTAGCAAATGTTATATAACATTGCTAGATGTTACACAAATCTGCTATATAGCAGGTTTTGCTACATAGTGTAAACCCGGCTTTCCACTATTTTTCTTTCGTACAACACTTTTTTACTCTTCGCATTTTTGCGCTAAACTTTCTCGTTTAGGAGCTGCATGATACAAAAATTAGACCGGAAGTCATTTTTTCATAGGCTGTATCTCCTAAACTAGTGGGTTTATGGAATAAATATCACGAATAAAAAAGTTTTTAAATTGCATGTTCTATCCGAAAACATGATAAACTATAGGGTTTTAATAAGAATTTTCAATTATTGCTTTAGAACATTTTTTATGATCCTTGTTCCACTTCAAAACTTTTGTTTGTAAACTGATTATATTCCCAAAGCATTCTCTATGATATAAAATTGTAACAGGCTAAATAACCATCCTAGATAAATCCACTAACAACGAAGAGCAGTGAGCAAAATCGAGTGTTCTAAGTAAATAAGCGATGGAAGTGACTTTAGTGCACTCCGACACTCCGAGCAGGAGCAGGGTGGAATCGCCGTCCAGTCCACTGACACTTGTTCATCGCCAGTGCTAATGCGGCGTTGCCTTACATTGCTTAGCGCCTGGCGAGGGTTCGGCAACACCGCGCCCGCGCCGTGAGTCACTTATCGATCGATACATGCCTGTGACGTCGAGACTGCCACGCACGTAGTTCAACAAATGTCCGCTCCACTCCACGCGCGCTAGTGTGCCAATTTCGGCCATTTCGGGATTTTGTTTTACTGGGACCCACTCTTAACTTTTTGATTAGTTTTTTTTTTCATTATCAGTAAGGTTGGTTGGTTCGTTTAGGGGTATGATGGTTTAATTTTATAATTAAAATATTATATAATTGATTTTGAGACATTTATAATTTTATTCTATGAACAGAACTATTTTTGTTATTAGTAAACCTTCATTCGATATTTTCATTATCAGCAAGTTTGGTTAGTTTGGTTAGGTTATGACAGTTAAATTAATTTAAATTTAACCTACAAACGAAACGTTTTGACAGCGACAGTGATAGAGATAACAATTTCCCACGAACAGTTCGGCTATGCGCTATGCACGGTAAAACTTATGATACGTTCTGCACGGCGTGGTGGCGGGCGGTGATGGTCTGCCGGTAACGTCTCGTTGCTCGTTGCCAAACGAGTGTGCTCCATTGTCTGTTCCACTTGACCAGCTGTTAGCTCTTCTACTAGCTGTTGTCGTCTGTCTGTCTGGAAACGGCTGTGTTGTGTTCGCGCTTCGCGGCATCCGCTCCGCATATTGTTTGTTATGGTTTGTTTGGTTATGATGACAGTCGACCGACAGTGTCAAACTCAAAACGTCTCGTTTCTCTAGTTTAGTGTGTCTCAGGTTTAAAATGTTCACATGTGTATTGTGCGACAAAAAATATACAAGACAATGGGTCCTGAATCGTCACTTACGTGAAGTGCACGAGTATTCCGCCGATGAGAGTCAGAGTAAACCGAAAAGTAGACCTAGACGTAGTCCTATGGTAACCTGCACAGTTTGCAGGAATGTGTTTAAACGTAATGATATAGAAGGGCACTACTTAGCAGAGCATAATATTACATTGAAAAACTCTGTTCTTAGTTTTTCTAGTGCGCCAGATTTCTACACTTGGAAAAAGAAGACAGAAGAAAAGGAAAATGTATTTTTTACAAAAACAACTGCTCAAAAGATTGTATCTGGTAAGAACAAAATTTATTATCGTTGTCATAGATCGGGATATTTTGATCCTAAGCTTATATATGGCATAAGGAAAAGGAAAACAAAAATACAGGGTTCCTGTAAAATAAATGGTTTCTGTCCTTCCGCAATGAAAGCAACATTTTTTGAAAACGGAAATATTGAAGTAGAGTACTGCGAGACTCATGTAGGGCACACTTGTGACCTAGCCCACAAACTATTGACCTTTAATGAACGACAAGATATCGCCGGAAAAATAAATAATAAAATTCCTTATGACACGATACTTGAAGAAGTTCGTTCAACTTTTAAACCAGACATGCTTAAAAGAATACATTTACTGACAAAAAATGATCTGTATAATATTAAAAGAGAATTTGGTCTTAATGAGACTATGCGTCATGAAGACCGAGAAGATGAAGTCAGAGAAAACGTGGGAGAAGTCAGAAGTTTGGAGGAAAGACCTTCAATATTGGCAGAAGTGTCAACTAAAACTGTTCTGCCCTCAAAGGTGAGACCTACTGACAAACTTCTACTAAGACAACGTGTTGAGTCAATTTTAAATAAAATTGACAACCCGGAGAGTTTAAAAGTAGCTGATCAATGCCTGAAAAACCTAGATGCGAAGTTGACTTCCCTCAAGCAGAGGAATATTGCCTTACAAGTAAAAAGCAACACAAAAAAAAATCAAAAAGAAGAACCCTAAGAACCCGGCCCTTGGTGCAGGGTCAACTAGTCACTAACCAGGTAGGCTATGCTAAGATTAATATTAATAGGTATAAGTAATAAACAAACAGTGATTAATTATTGTAGGGTATTAACTATAATATTAGGCCTAATAATAATAAATTAATGATTAGCCTAAATTATTTATGAAATGAAATTGCAATTAGCAGGCACATTTTTATTCTCCAAGTTAAAATACTTGTATTTCACATTTGAGTTACGGTTTTGTGTTACGCTAGTTAAATCTTTTAGGTACTGAAATAAAAGTTTTTGAACTTGAGCACACACAAACAGATAGGTACCCCAGATATATTAATATATAGTTACCAGTACCCACAAACGTATCCCATGCTTAGTAACTTTGTTAAAAATAAAAATAAACAAAATAGGTCCATACGAAATTCACACCAAGATATTTCCTCATTTGAAATAGCCAAATTGTTATGTTAATTTTGTTGTTTCAGTTTCCAAGATCAAAGAGATTGTAAATGGATGTCAATAAATTTAAATATTATTAGTATAGGCCTGCTGTACCTACTAACATTCCCCATGCTAAGCAACTTTGTGACAAACAAACAAAAATAAACATACTTGAAATACTTACTTACTTACTTGAAATACTTGATCTCTTCATCGTTGACCAACAAATGTTGGATAGATTGTGTCATTAAAATGTTTCTCTATTTACTAACACTATATTACATATATACAATTAAACTGAACTGACGGATGTGACTTTATTAGGGAAAGCGAGTGGCTCGTCAAACAGTTCTTTTAAAGCGTACAAGGGCCTGCTGAGTAGGCTCTGGCGAAGTGTGGATTTGAATCGCTTTGGGTCTAGAGCTCGGATATTGGTCGGCAGTGTGTTGAATAGTTTTATCGCTATTGAGGGGTATGACTGAAGTGTGTGGCGCATAATAGGCCTATACAAGATTTACGTTAAGATATTTCCTCATTTGAAATAGCCAGATTGTAATGTTAATTTTGTTGTTTCAGTTTCCAAGATGAAGGCGGATGTAAATATTGTAAATAGATAATGTAGCCTAAATAGTACGGTAATGTAAATAAATGTAATATGTAAATAAATGAATGTATTAATAGTACCTATACCTACATTTTGGATTTAGAAGAAATAGATTTGAAGAACTTCATTCATTAACATAAGGTATGTTAGCCTACTATTTATAAAATGCTCATGCCTCTATATAGGCCTACCTCTAAATTTAAAAAAGCATTTTTATACACTTTTCTTCCTATTTTCTGTTATTTAAAGAATGGAAATAACAAGTAATATAGTTAAGATATCAATTTAATTAATGTTTATTTTGTCTTATATAGGCTACGTATCAGTATTTTTTAAATAATTATTCTAGTAGTAATTTTTTAATAATTATTCTAGAAATAATTCTTAATTAATTACACATTATTTAGACCTATTTAACATTAAACGGCTAGTCTACTTCGTTCCTATCAGCATTTATTAAAGAATGCTCGGTGATTAGAAGAAATTGTTCTGTTGTTCCCATTTCAAATCCCGCTGTCCCGTTTCCAGACAGACGACAACAGAAGCGTTTGGCACGGTGGTGCGGTGGTGGGGGAAGGCGCGGTGGTGTTATGATCGGGAGAGCTTTGTTCCCTTTTGGTCATAATCTTTTTTTTTCGTGGTGAAAATAACTTGGTTGAAAAATGTTTCATGAAGCCTTACCAAAGCTGTAAGTCTATTATTATAGAAACTGAAACTGGGCAGTATCACGACCCAATTTCTTAAAACAGTAACAAGGAGTTAGTGTTATGTGTTTGGACTTTTAATAATTCAGTGACTAAGCCTAATACAGCTTTTGTTACAGAAAGTGACCTGGTCAGTGTGTTAAGTAGCAGTCAATGTTGGAAGCTTTGTGCCTCCCCCCGCCATTTGATGCCTCCATTAATTTCAGCAACATTTGAAATGGCAGGGCTAATAAAGGTAATAACAAAGCCAATGACGGCTAATAAATGTAGGGACGTTTTAAAGATTTGTATATGCAAATCAAATTCAAATATATTTATCACGGAAATTACAACAGCTTGGCCTCACCAAGTTTAAAAAACTTGTTGGTAAGGTCCAATTTATGCATAAGGCTAACAAACTAAAAGTGTACATTTTTTTTCTAGAACAAAGTTTTCTTAATAGGCTATACTATTTCTACGGCGGTTTGTGGTAGACACTTTAACTTAAAACAAAGTAGTTGGCAGTACACTAGAAAATCTATGTAGGCTAGGCCTAATGACATATGTTTTTATTAATGTTTAATGTTAGTAATGTTTTTATTTATTTATAAATTTAAAACTGGGCCCAGGTTACACTTTCGTTTTAGAGATTTTTAGATGAGTTATTATTATTTTGTTTAAGAAGTAACAAATTTGTATTTGTTATTTTGGTCAAATAAAGGCGTACAGTACCTAATTGTGTTGATTTAGAAAGTCTATTCATTCACTTTTTGAGATGAAATCATACCTTACCTTCCTTACCATTTTTTACAAAAAGCAACTCTTCTCGAGATTATCTATCTGGTTGGATAAAAATACTTCCATAATTTTCAGTCATTCACAGCTATATAAAACATTCTAAATGTGGCCAGCTAAGAGAATGACATGGTTGTTCCAGAAACATCGAGGATTGGGTCATTGAAGCACTTTTATAACATAAAATCTTTCCCTTAAAAGTCATGCGGCAAGTCTCTCTTACCTTAGGGTTTGATGACATGCCCTATTCAACAGGAAGTCTGTTAAAACATTTTATATGACCAAATTGGATAGAAATAATTAAGGTGATAATATTTATTAGGTATCTGCAACTGTTTTAAAATTTTCCTTCAACACAAATACATAAAATAATTAAAAAACACCAGTGTGTACCGTACTACTAAAAATTTAGCTTTGTGTTTTATACATTTTTGACCCCTTGACAGATAGCGGAGCTAGGATGTTGGGTGAGCCAGAGTATGACATGTGGGGCTCTTGCAGGACTACTCATCATAATATCAGACAGTGAATTATCTGGAGGAGGCCACACTCTACTTGTTTATGCCAGGTAAACTTCTTGATGATTGTTGAGTGTTAACTTAAATACCTTTTATATCAAAGCTAAAAGAAATCTGATTATTTTTTTTGTATCATTGATTTATTTATAAGTTAGTTTCTCCAGGGTCCCAGGATGTATTTACAGAGACACCCTAAGGTGGTGAGAGACTTTACTATGTTTCCATAGTTTGCAAATCGGCTCTTTCAATGATTACTAAAAAATGCAGCACAGGGTTAATTCAGTTGTCTTTTTAGTATATCAATTTATCCAGACTCTCTCGTTTTTTCCATTGTAATATTTACGTCAACCCAAATTCGAATAGTAGCCTAACTATTTCATTTCAACCAAGTAAGTAAATGTTTGTAGCAAACTTTACAATTTAAATTAGCAAACTTATTGACTGTTTACAATTAACATATGTTCTTCTTCTCACTTTTGATTTCTGACAACAGCTGGAGTTTCATAACAATATTTGTTTCCCATGTTAATCTTATGAAGAAATACAAAACTTAAAATGGCCCAGGGCCTCACCCTATAATTATTTCCCTAAAAAGAAAGTTTCCTGCACAACTTCACGTTGCGCTCTTTCCAATGACACCAAGAACATTAAAATCGGTTCAGTAGTTTCGGAGGAGTAGGTAATCGTCACAAAAATCCTGCTTGTGTATTAAATAAGTATAGATAGATTATTTATGAAGTCCTCAAAATGCCTCTCCTAATATCTGCCACTGTTAGTCTGGGAGTGGTGCTCAGTTGTTATTCTTATGAGAGAGGGCATTCTTTAGGGATGGGTAATTTTTGTGTCTGTAAGTTTGATACGAGAGAACGGGAGTGTTGCACGACGTCCAAGTGCCACGACGTCCAAAGTGCCTGCACACTGTGAACACTGTTTGCCGACCTCAGTGCATACAGTTTGCATTGCAATTATTGAAGGCAACTAGGCCTAGTCTAACAACTGTTTCAAGTTGTCAACCGCTTCATTTTCGATTAATGTTCAAATTATTCAATATTCAGTGGTTCTAATTGAACTAATTATTGCATTAGCAGATTTTTTTATATGTAAAATAAATACTATGTCATCGTAAAATGGAATGATGCAGTATTTCTGTTGTTATAATTGCATTGATTTCTACAAAATAGAGCTACGTCGTAGAAACAAAATAAATAAATTACTACACTATTTCACAATATAATAAATAAACCACTAGCCCAAAAGTAAATATTTTAGGTTTAATGTGAGTTGTAGTAGAATTCTAAGTACTGCAGTAGAATAGTGATTAATTGTCAAACAATATCAATTGGTAGCAAATTTAAATCTATGCATAGTTTTATTACAGCTGTAAGACTTCCCATTTAAGTACCGGTATCGTTGAAATTGAATAACATCCATTGGACAGAAATGAGATAAGTAGATATCGATACACAGATATATTAATTTTCAAACACTTATAATATGATGAATTCAAAAAAAGGTTTTTCCGTCAAATGTGCTAAAAATTATGTGAACTATCACGTTGAACTTTGTAAGCTATAATGGTGTTACTACTATGGTTAAAAATGTTTACCTGTGAAACATTTATTTTTTAAATCTAAAAGAAGAGTAAATCTTGCTAAAAGTAAATCTTGCTAAAAGGTAACCTTGCTCTATTATTAGTGCATACGAAAAATAATTTCACTATTTTACGAGATCAATGTTTGACAACAAATGGTTAAAGCAGATCTTCAGAGAGTGTCTCCAGCTGATGCAGTAATAAATACCCCCGCTGCAGCAAAACTGCAGACTAAGCGAATTTCCATTTGCCTGATTAGATTTACACTAAAATGTCTCCTTAAAAATATCAAATATCGCATTTATTTCCTATTTAAATAACATTTGTTTAACGAGTACTTAGGTTTGCTGCAACAGGGAGGGTAAATAGGAGTTTTTTTTCTAAAATGTATAATAGTTTAGTTCAAAATGAATGCATTTTCCAAATTTGATCAAAATATGTTCATACATATTCAACAAGCAAACTACAACAGTTTACTTATTTTCCATAAGAATAACATGGATATTTTAAATTTACAGATTTTTGGAATTTTCTCCGTAATCATTAGGCGCAACAACGCTTCAATATCTACATTATTTGTTTTTTTGAGCTCTACAAAATGGTTTGGAAAGAAATTGCTAAATTGTAAGTTTTTAGGGTCGAAAATGGGAAAAACCAATTTTTATCCCATAAAACCCCCCATAAACCCCTATTCCCATAGTCCGATCATGCTGATTCGCGAACTCGTTCGAATAAACGTAGGTTTACACGTTTGTACCAAATTTCATCAAAATCGGATAATTTTTGTCCGAGTTATCGTGCTAACGGACGCAGTTTTTTTCAATGTAAAAATATACTAAGGTAGGTGCAGAAAAGTATAAATAAAAGTGTATAAAGTTAGTTATAGTCTGACACTATTCATGTATGTACAGTACATACAATATGAATAAAGAATTTTGATTCTGATTCTTATTGAGGACAAAACACCTGTATCATGTAATGTTTTAGTACCTTTCGTTCTATTCTATTATTTCCTAAACTCTGATTTTCTCATAAACTCTTCCCATCTCCAGAAATCCCCAATAAACATTAACACGTTCGTGGCGGCACGTCAAATGGCGGGCGTATCCCCAGTGCGGCGCAGCCTTCAGCGTCGAACAAACCCGATTGCCACGTGTGATTGGCTTTCCAATTTCGGTCTGACAAATAGCAAATAACGTGCGAGGATGTCCTGCTTTACAACGAGAGTCGACGTAGTTCGCTAAACACCCACAGATAGAAGCACTGCTTGGAACGTAGCCGGTCCCATTGGAATTATATTGCCAAATGGAGGGATAAAGACTGGACAAAAAGTCGATTTTGAGATTGCCAGATGGGGATTTTACGGGGAAATTTACTACCAACCTACACCACAACAAAATACAGTATACTATTGAGCAGTGCTGTGCGAGGTTTCAAGTTTCTAGCTCTAATCCTGGCTTAAAAATAAATAATTTCGTACTGCTATGTAGCTTGGGAGCGATTGCGATCGCACCCACCAGGATCGCATTAGGGTTCCGTATGGGAGCGATCGCTCCCATGCCGCCGCGAACGTGTTAATAATAATTGTATCCAAGCAACAAAAATTCAAACTTATTCAAACCAAAATAAAAATCACCATGTCTAAACAAGAAAAGAAGGTGAATCTCTGCGGCAAATGGAAGACCTGTCAAGTTGATGCTGCAGTCAAGACCACTGGGGGTCTGGGCCTTGGAGCTCTGGGATCTCTAATGTTGTTCAGGATGGCCAAGTGGCCTCTAGTCCTGGGGACAGCTATTGGCCTAGGACTGGCCTACAACAACTGTCAACAATACATCAACGAGTCCCTCAAGACGGCGGAGAAGGACAAGTGAGAATTCTGAGGTGTTGATTGATCTGCAATGTGTTTTGTTAAATTGAATATGAATTTTGGTCTTTGATATGAATACAATCTTATAGTTCTGGAAATTGTTTTAAAATGTCCTCCTAGAAGTCTATTTTAACTTACCAAAAAGCCCCGAGGGTGGGGAGTCGAGAAGTGGCCGCCATCTTGAATTTTAGGTGCCATTTTTAGGTTTTTCATAAATAACCCCCTTGAAAACTATCCACTTTTTGTGTAGGCCTACAAATTGAAAAAATTAAAGGAAATTAATTTTCCTACAAGAAATATTCATAATGTGTTTCGCTTTGTCCAACCATTCAAGAGATAATTACTGATTAATTTTAAATTTAAATTTTCTAAGGGGAGAAACTAGATCTGTAAGGTGGATATTTCAGTTTAATCAGTCTCTAGGAGCATGTTTTTTTACTTATAGAGAGTCAAAGCTCCACAGATGGAACGCAGAAAAAAATTATGTTTACGTGTTATTTGTTAAAAGAAATTATTAATGAGGAGGTTTTTGTTAACCTTGATTCTACCATTGTGGAAGGGCTGAAGAGCATATGCACAAAAGCGCCCACAATTGTAATTCTCTCTTCACGTCTCAGTTGTCTCGAGAAAATCACGTTTGCAGAAAATAACTACGACATTTAGAAATAATCACAAAGTTGCCGTGGTTGAGGGAGATAACCACGACTTTGCCGTGATCGCGGGATACGACCAAGAAGTCGCCGTATTTGCAGGAAATGACCACGACGATGTTTTACTGTGAAGTCTGTGCACAGATTTTTTTTATGCTATCTGGAGAAGAGATATTTTGTTAATTTTCTGTTGAACTTAAGAAAATGACACACTGTAATCCAGTAGCTAAAACAATTCTGCATCTGTGCAATTTCATATGTTCCTGATAGTCCTTTGGTTGGAGTCAAGTGTGTAGCATACAAAACTAAGCTAGGTGTGCGATTTTACTGACTAATGCTATAAATGAAAGGGTGGAAAGTATGTGTCAGATTGCGGATACTGATTTTGTTGAGTTTTGTGTTATGTTTGTTCTACAATGCTATTATCAGATTGAACCAAATCGGATGCATGAACAGATGTTTTTGTCACACCTGATGATGGACTCCAGCAGGTTCAAAACAATAGAATGTAACTAGAGGACACACATTGCTCCGCAGCGTTAATATAATTGTCATATCCCAGAAATAATAAAATTTACACAATTTAATGATGTTGATGTGATTTTATAAAGTTTTATAGGTTTTATCTTGTCAGTCACTTTTAGATACCAAGTAAATGATAGTTAATTTTTAGTAAAATATTAATAGCTTAGTATAAAATAAATAAATGTGCAAAGTTTGATCAAAATATTTCCATAAACAAGCAAATATAAAGCAAATAGCATAGGACTTTACAATTTATTTTTTTTATTATCCCTAAAAGAAAAATAAACTGTATAACCAATCTGGCACATACTCTCTCCCGTAAGCTTGTCACAACCCTTAGCATGGGACATGGATTGGATAAGCAGTGAGAGTAACTTTCATAATTTATTGGAAAGATCACAAAAAATGCAATAACTTAATCTAAAATCAATTAATCAAATTAATCTAAAATTATGAGAAACAATACCATAGTTTGTTTCGATACCAACCATAATAAAGGGATCAAATTCATTTAAGTTACGGTATGCGTTCAGTGCAATGGCAAAAATCCATTTAAGCTTTAACCTAAATAAAAACACAATTAAAAATAACATGTAACAAAAACATTGAAGGGAAGTAAAATAAAGTGATGTGTTCTGAAATAGAGACGAAGAAAGCAAATAATTTATTTCGGGTATACCTATGAGCTACAGCCTAAAAGATTGAAACATCCATAGTAAATTTATTTTGAATACTTATACAAGGCTGCACATTTGCAATCACTGCAAGACATAACCTTAATCTCTCACGAACGGAGTTGAAAGTTTACCTTATTGTCTCAAAATATGGTAGATTGTGATTAGCTGATAAAAGAATCCAGATTTTATAGTAAGAGGTTAGATCGAAGATCGCAAGAACTCTGCATTGGGATTGGTTCAAAATGACGTCGGTCATCTGAATTTCGTGCGGTCAAATAACCTTAGGCCTAATCTACAACTTAGTAAAACATTATTTTTGGTATTAAAGCCATTTTTCATTTGGGACACAGATAAATTTTTCTTTTGCTTTCTTTATTTGTTGTGCTCTTGGTCTTTAATATTTACCAGGTTTTTAATGAGTTATTTGTTACCAAAAAGAATTGAAGAAAATATATTGAATTATTAAGTACTGTATTTGATTTGATAATTCGAAATAGTATCAACATATTTTTCAACTTTTTCCCATATAAGAAGGCGTCCAAACACCACCGAATAGGTAAAGGTACTACAGTAGCAAAATGTGTATTTATAAAAAGAAATAAAAAATAAGAATACAAAACGGATCACACAAATTTAAAGTAACACAAAAAACCTACGCTACAATAAATTAACAGCATGTTTTATGGTACATAATATTCAGTTTAAATTTGTTCTAATGATGTATTTGGATTGGTGAATAAAAGGCTTAAAAGGCTATGGTTTCGTAAAAAATATTAACCTATTGACAATGTAAGTTTATGAAAATGTAAGAATACTTAATATGATGAAAGCTAATCTGCAAGACCTAGTACATCCTTCTTCTTGAGTACAAAGATGTGATCTGTTGTATAGTAGATATGTCATTTGTCTAGTGTTTAGTTTTTAAGGCAGTAATATTTTTTTCACCACACTATGATGTTTTTGGCTGTATTACATACGTTAATTGGGGGCTGAAAGTTACGTTTTGCTGGCCATGTCAGCTTTCATCGTAATTTGGGGACCGAGCAGGTTTTTACAGCCCGGGGCCGCAAAATCAGCTGTCCGCTTACTTACTTAAAACAAGAATGCATTTTAAATGCACAATCAAAATCCATAGCGTTGCAATAAAATTGTGTTATTGTCATCGTTGCCTAGCAACTATTTATTTTTATTTTTGCTGATTCCTCAAATTATTTCTTCACATAACCTAAAGTTGTAGTTGTGTTGACTATCAGTGTGCATTAACGATAGTGGTAATAGGGAATATTGTGGTGAAAAATAGCGTTCGTACCACGGACCGAAATGGTTTTGCAGCTCTCGATCGATTTAAGTTCTCGACTTCGTCTTGAACTTAAAAACTATCTAGAGCCAGTAAAACCTCATTTTCGGCCCTAGGTACGAAATATACTATTTACAGTGTGCTTGCAATTTATATTTTGGTGATTTTTTTATTGACTGAGAAAGTAATCCAAGCTTTTTAAAATGTTTTTTTATAACCCTAGTGAAAAAAACAATAGAAAATCATTAGACATTTAAATGATATCACTACATATTGTATTGATATCATTAGATACATAGTGATGTCAATAGATGTCTAATGATATCAAGTGGTATCATTAGAGAATCTAGTGACATTAATCACTAGACATCAGTGAACTTGAAGTGATGTCTAGTGATCTCTGTTTGTCTAGTGACTTTAGTATTGATATCATTAGGTGATTCAATGATATCATTTGGTTACTTAATGATATCATTTGGTTACTTAATGATACAATTAAGGGTGTAATGATATTAGTTCAAATCAGTGATCATCAGCTACTTAATTTTTCCAAACATTAAAAAAGTTGTTTTACTAATAGTTTTACCTAAAATTAAGAACTCAGTTAATTTTTATTTATTTATGAGCTAGGAAAAAAGTAAGATTACTATGAAAATTCAAGATTTTCTTTGGATTTTTTCAATAATACTGGTCATGTAAGTTTTTATTTACTACTTATTTTTTAAATATTTTACTTTTATAATTGAAAAGTAATCTCTGCTTGGAAATTGTAATATAACATCATAATTTTAGTCTGGGAGGCAGTGTAGAGTGTAGGTTGTAGGTTGTAGCATTTTGTATTTTTCTGAATGTAGGCTATATAAGTTAATGTGACATGTTGTCATAACTAGCCCATTGACACCCAGATGATAATTTAATCATTTGTTTTGTTTAGAGGGATCCAAAAAACACTTAAATAGATAAGTCATTAATAAATAAGTCACTCATTCTCTTTTCTGAATCTCACGTTTTACTTCCAACTGTAATAATACAGTTGCCATACTTACCAATGGCAATAATAATAAATCAATGGTTGTAAATAACTATATAGAAATTACAGCGTAACCGGAATGGGATATAATAATTTATCGTGAGCAAAGCTTGGTACCAACTTCTATACGCTATACTTATACTATTTCTAATTTTAAACACCTGGCAGTATTTTAAACACCGGATAAATGTAACAATTATTACTATTGCTACTTAACTCAGGATATTGAGCTCAAATATACTCAAACTGTTTGTCATAATCCTTTATCGCATAAATCAAATAATTGTTAGGTTACTGATTACATGAACGTATCAATGAGTATAGCATTACACATGGTATTAATAGGTCAACCCTATGTATGCCATTACTATCCAAATGCTGAATTTGTGTGTCACACGCTTAATGTTTACTTCTGTTACGTTAAGCAAAAGGCTTTATATGAAAAGCTAGTTTAGAATGTTAACGTCGGCTGCTAGACTTTTTAAAATTTTAAACTTAATCTCTAAAAAACTGGGACTCTAAACTAAAATTATGGCTTCGACATTCCCTAGTTCTCAAAATTATATTTCTTTCGATACAAAAATCATGAAAATCCGTCAAGTGGTTGATTCAGAATCGTGAAATAAAAACCCTGTCACGTTTTAATATTATAGATGATATTATGATATTAGAATATTATGATGATGATGATAAGGCTTGATGACTTCATTACTAGGCACGCAATATACGCTCCTTCTAGTATTGTGGGTCTGCAAAATTCACCGTATGCAGGAGCTTGGACGTCGTGCAACAGCCCTGAGCTATATTGGACGTTGTGCAACAGCCAAATATTTATTGGACATGGTGGCACTTGGACGTCGTGCAACTGGCAGCGGCTTTTGACGTGGTGCAAATGATACTATTTTACAATTCTATAGTGCGCTGTTTCACGACGTCCAATCTCATGACGTCCAAAGCTTGTAGAAAGACTATATTTTTTGCAGTTACTGTACTTTTGGACTTGGACATCGTGCAACAGTCAAATATTTTATATTGGACGTTCTACAAGAGCTGAAAAATTATTCTTTGGAGGTCGTGGCACTGAATAATATTATTGGACGTCGTGGCACTTGGACGTCGTGCAATGCATCCGAGAGAACTCATGCGCAAACTGTGCAATTCAATAGGGCTCACAATTTAACTCCGAGGCATAAGTAATAATGCAATACCCGTTTATCGTACAAAGACAACTTTATAGCTAAAATAATTAAAATAAAATAAAATACTATATGAGAGTTAATATAATCAGAATGTTTGTTTGAGACAATTAGGTCTAACACTACTATAATTTTCAATGTTTAAAATATGTCTATTGTATGTATACCATAAATAGAGCAAATTAAGGCGTTCACGTCTCAGTATCACTCGGGCCTAAGTTTCTCTATGTTGCAATGCCGAGTCTACCAGATTCAATGATTTGATTGAATAAGTAGCTAACATATATATCATCAAAAATTATGTTCACTAGGTTTTAATCTCCTAGCAGCTATGTGAATCATGATATCCAAGAACCTGGTCTTCTAGTAAAGTAATCACAACATTTAGAAAATAATTTTTTTGACTAACTGTCCCACTACTCCTTGGTTGTTTCAAACAGATATTTTCTATTAAAATCTTGTTGACCGCAGAGAGATGAGGCAAGTTCTACTGTTGGTGCGCAGACTACAGGTCCAGTGGAAGATGGAGGTGTGCAGAGGCGGCTCAGCTAGTGTGCAAGACTGTGTTGATAGCCTGAGGTCAGAGCTATGCATGCTGCGTAACATCGCTAGAGCCGGTGCGGAGTATACACACCAAGAGTGGGAGAAGATAAGGGATGACCTTGGATCTCTGGAACTCGCTACAGACTTGAGTTTTGAGTCATATTCGTCCGTATCTTAGTGGCAAGATTCATAAGGATTATATGAATTACAGTTTATTGTTCGTTTGTAAAAAGTTTTCACATGTTTGTGTCTAAAAATAATGTATAGATAACTATTACAATGTTTCTGATTTAAATTAGAAATTACTGGATTAATCCTTTTGTGGGGCTCAGCCCCACAACTTGAATGACCTAAACTCAACTGTCCCGTCAAGAAGCCACTCTTTAACCCAGGACTGTTTTCGTGCATGTGCAGCGGCGAGCACATCAGGCGATTAAAAGTGTTTCTGTAGTAAAAATACTTTAACTAACATTATTGATCATCAAATCTGGCTCTTTGGGCCTGTGATTCACGGTAAACTGTGTCCTCTGATTAAATTCAAGTGTTCAGCTATCGTTTCCAGCACGAATGGTTGTATCGTAATTGCCAGTCGATTCCCATACAATCACTCCTGCTTGGCCCCACCGCCACACTTTGAGCTTGTAGCCTTAAATAAATAAATAAATATATCTTTATTGTCACATAAACGTTTTACAGATTACATAGCATAAGCTACAAAAACAGGTGACATTGTCAATATAATCATATATTATAATAAGTACCTAAAATACTAAAAAATAAACAATGGTTCTTACAAATAATTATTTGGGTTATTTTATAAAACATAATATTTGCTAATTTAAAAAATTACCATATCATTCAAAAATTTGTCAATACTATAATATATTTTGTTTACAAGAAATGAGGCAAGGCTGCTTTTAAAAGACGTTTTGTTTATTAAATCTTTATATTTTGGTTGCAGTTTATTAAACAATTTCTTTCCCATATATTTTGGTGTTTTTTCTATTAATTTTAATCGGTGAATCGGAAACTGAAAATTCTTTTTGAAACGGGTGTTATATGGATGGTCAAAATTCTCCGCACATAAGTTTTCAAAATTTGACTGTACCATTAATAAGGATTTAAAAATTATTAAACTTGGTACAGTCATTATATTAAGTTCTTTAAAAATTGGTCTACATGATTGTTTTCGTTTAGCAAATGTCATTATTCTTAAGTATTTTTTTTGAACTTTAAAAATCTTTTCTATTTCTGATGAGAATCCCCAAAATTCAATCCCATAATGCAATATTGAATAAAAATAGGCATAATATATCATTAAACGTGTTTTCATATCCAAAATATTTCTCAAACAAAGCATTTGGAAACAGGCAGAATTAAGCTTATGTAATATGTTTTCAATGCACTTGGCCCAGGTTAAATTTGAATCAACATACAAACCTAAAAATTTTGTACATTTGACAGTTTTGGTTCTTGTTTTATGTGTGAAATTTCGGGATTGTATCGTATTAAATTTTACTAGTTGTGTTTTTTCTGGATTTAATTTTAGTCCGTTTATTTCAAACCACCTTCTAAGATCCATTAAAGCGTCTTCTACTTTCACCCATAAATCATCCTCCGTTTTAGCTTTAACAACAGCAGTTGTGTCATCTGCATACAGTATTAAATTATGAGAAATATTTTCAGGTAAGTCATTTATATAAATTAAGAAAAGAAGAGGACCTAAAATAGAGCCCTGTGGGACACCTACTCTAATTTCACTCCATTCAGATTTTGACTGCAAGCCTCCTTTTAAAATAACAGTTCTTTGAAATCTACCTGTTATATAAGATTTCAACCATAAAATAGATTTCTTAGAAAATCCATAAATTTCCAGTTTTTTCAAAAGAATGTCATGGTTGACACAATCAAAAGCCTTGGATAAATCACAAAACACCCCCATTGTACTCTGTGACTCATCCAAGGCCCATGACACTTCATTAACAAAATGGGATATAGCGGTCATTGTGCTGCAACCCTTTCTAAAACCAAACTGTTTACTACTAAATATATTGTATGTTTCCAAGAAATTATAAATTTGTTTATAAGCAATTTTTTCAAAAATCTTGGAAAAAGAAGGTAAAAGTGATACAGGCCTATAATTGTCAGGATTATGCTTTTCACCTTTCTTAAAAAGTGGCTTGAGTTCTCCATATTTAAATTGTTTAGGAAATATGTTGTTTTGAAATGATTGGTTAATAATAATTGTGAGAGGTTCTGAAATAGAGTCTATGACTTTTTTCATGAGATCCACCGAAATTTCATCCCATCCCGCAGATTTTTTATTTTTAAGTGATTTGATTACTTTGACTACATCTTTTTGCTCAATGGCTTTAAAATCAAAATTAAATAGTTGTTTACTAGTCATTAAGTTCCTTGTCATATTTAGTGCCTCAAATTCACATGGTGATGTTCCCATTTCCTTGGTTATATTGGTAAATTTTTTATTAAAGAATTCAGCTATTTCTTTTACGTCGCTAATGGTTTTATTTGAGAGTTTAATATCAGGAAAACTATCCTTGACTTTTTTAAAACCTAGCTCTGATTTAACAACACACCTTGCAGCCTTGCTCACATTTTCTGATTTGTTTATGAATTTAGCATTGCACATCCTTTTAGATTGATTACAAACTTTCTTGAAAATTGTTTTATACTTTCTAACATAATCCTTAAAGAGTCCGTCGTTTGATTTTTTTGCCAGTTTACTTAGTTCTCGTTTATTTATACTAGATATTTTAATACCCTTTGTTACCCAAGACTTCTTTTGATTCTTATTTTTGTTGTTGTAAAACTTTAAGGGAAAAGACTCTTCAAAAGTATTGTGAAAATGGCAAAAAAAGTTAATACAATTTTCTTCAAAACATTTTTTTACAGATACGTCCCATTTTATTTCTTTAATATTATTTACAAAACTTGTGACATTGGCTTTTGAAAACATTCTTTTTTTAGTTGTTTTATCTGTTCTGTCCTTATTATCCTCAAATGAGCTATCAAAAATGTTTATAAACAAAGCCCTATGATCTGAAAGACCCAATTCTAAATTCATTGTCTGGACTGAATATTGTGAATTTATTTTTCTAGTTAAGATATTATCTATGCAGGATTCAGTGTGCTGAGTAATTCGAGTTGGTGATGTAAAGTTAATTTTAAACCCATATTGATTTAACAGAGAAATAAAATCTTGTTTTTGATTTGGATGGCTACAGTCCTCCAACAGATCAATATTAAAATCCCCAGCTATGTATACATTTCTTATTTTTGTTGTTTTATTGAGCATTATAAATAACCTTTCTAACTTATTGAGAAAAGACTTAAAATTAGTTACATAAGGAGTCCTGTATATTGAAATTACAATAATTTTTAAAGTAAAAATCTCAATGCATGATGATTCAAAAATAGAATTTTCATTTAAAACACAGAAATCATCTCTTATAGTGTACTCTAAACTATCTTTTATTAAGATGCAGGAACCACCATGGCTACCTTCTTCCCTACAATAAAAATGGGCAATTGTATAATTTGGGATGCTATTTAAAATATTTATATCTACACTCTTAAGCCAATGCTCGTTCAAACAAACAATAGGAATATTTGAATTTTCTAAGATTATCTCAAGATCATTTTTTTTTACTTATCAACCCACCCTCAATGTTAAGGTGCATTAACCACAAAAATCTCTTTTCAAATTTAGCTGATTTACAGACTGGCCATGAGCCTTTAGTATTATAAGCATTAGCATCATTTAAAAAGTCATGAAAATTATTACATACAACACAAAAGTTTTTAATTTTTTTAGGGTCACTTAGTGGGGGCATTTGCTTTGCAAGCTTAAGTTTTGAAGGTGGGTTTCCTCTAAAAAACAACCAACCTCCATGGAGATATTAATTGATTCACATGAACTAGGGTTATTGGAGGAACAGTGATTCTTAACTAAATTTTTTACATTTAAAATTGGACTTGAATTTCCATCACAATTTCTCTGCTTTAGCGCTTCACTAGAAGTGAGAGCGCCCGACACTATTTTAACACTTTCACAGACTGATGTCTCCGAGGGTGGTTGGATTTGTTCTGGTGTAGTATCTCGAGGTGGCAACATTGGTTTCTCTGATGACTCCTCAATCTGGGTAGCTTCAAGGTCCAGGGGCAGTAATGACTCACTGGCTGAGTCGTTCAGATCTTCACCATGTGTTGACATCTGGCGTGTAAGTTGGCCGTCATCTCCAGGTGCTTTGCAATCAGACGAAACTATCTTAGTTGTGTTTGTTTCGTTACCAGAGCCCTGTGAGATTTCCAAAGACTGCTGCAGATTCTCCGAAGATGAAACAGGCGGGTTGATGCAAGCATCAGTTAGACTATTTGGGGCATCAATTTTACAAGAGCAACTGTCAATTGTCCTCCTTAGCTGATCCAAAAATGCAGTATGTGATAGCCCATTCCATAATTTTCGCTGAGCAGCTGGTTGATCACATGACACCACATATATCGTAGCATTAGTCATTTTGTGCAGCTTTACAATATTTTTTGCAAAGTGGTTGAGAGGTACTAAGTCACGCACACAGCCCATTGGAGAACATATTAAAGTATCGAATTTCTTTACTTTAAAATCCTTGATCAATTGTTCGAACGCCTCATCATACGTTGGTAGTGTTGGCTTTCCTCTATATTCTTCCTTTGAGACAAGACTGTATACTGTGGCACCCCCTGATTCAGTCTGGCAAGTCAATCTTGTGTTGATGAAGTCTGTGTCCTTAGGTCTACCAAATATCTTACGAAACACAACCGCTACACCAGCAGACATGTTTCTGTAGTGTTGGATATCTCTTGATATGGTATGCGCAAATGCTGTGGTAGGGGCTTTTTTGTTAGCATTAATCATTTCCCACATGTTAGCTTCGATGACATTAATGGTATTGTTTTTTATGCAAGTAGACTGTGTTTGTTCTTTAGATCCAGCAACAGCCTTTTGGTAGATATTAACCATTTTGTTACTAATTGTTTGTAGCATTTAAACTTTTACCTACGACAGTTTTTTTAAGTAGCCGTTTCTGTTCAGTTCTTAGAATTGAAAAGTATCTCATAACAGCATTGTTCACTTTCATAACAGCATAGTTTTACTCATAACAACACGGCTAACGGACCAATGAGGTTCAAGGATTGAGAGAGGAAAAGTAAAATTGTAATTATTCGAAATTCAACTAATCAGCTGTTCAGGCCAATTTAATTGTTGATTGGCGTAATTAGTGTTTGATACAATGTTTCGTTACATCAGACAATCGTCCTTGTCAGTGACAATGAGAGGTTATAAACAAAAACATAACCTCTCTTATAAGTTATGAGTAGTGATTTTAAACTACATTTTTAAACACTCGCCAAGGCTCGTACCATAAATTTTCTACTCGTGTTGTTATCACTATCTTTACGCAATCGTTGCGTAAACTACTATTACTCACTACTATCTATGCAAGCAACTCAACAAAAATTGCTAAAAGAGGTCCCTGACATGTGTATCAACCATAAAGTCAAACTTAAGAATTACTATGAGGTCAAGGATGTAATGTAGGGCACAAGGGTCTAGGTTTTAAGACCAGATCCCCTGCTCATGGGCTACTACTCGCTATCACATAGTTACATCAACTATGGTTTAGCGGTGTGAGTAATAGCCATGCCACCCAAAGTGTGCTGTTGCTACAGACGAAGGCCTTAAGAGTAGGCAGGAGTTAATAATTTTGCAGTGCCGTTGACCGTCAGATGCCAGGCGAAACAGTGGTTGTCTGAGCTCCGATCAACAAAATATCCAGCCTATTTCAATAAGCTTTGTATTCTGACTATCTACAGCCAATATGTACTAAACGCCTTAGCTCTCCTGAAAAAAAAAAAAAAAACAAGCCAGAACTCGCATCAAGGAGCACAATTAATCATAGGACACATAGAACGTGTGACTTGGACCTGCTCAGCTGCCGACTCAGTCACGCTCTGGACTCCTATCCTTTGACCTTTAACTATTATTAATACACTATTTCAGTATCCAATAGTCAATGCCGTTACTTGCTATCAGGCTTTTCAAATATGCTGCCTACAAGTGTTGGTGTTCTTGTCCAAAAGCGATAAAAAAAAATATAAAAAAAACACTTTTTGCCAGTGTCTACTTAGTAGATAGTTCTACTCCTTGAGAGAACTCTTTGTCGAGCCTCTAATGACAAATTAAGGGTAAACTATGCAAAATAAACTCATTAAAAAATTAAATCAAATTTATTGCAAAAAATTCTAAACCTGGTACAATAAAGATAAAAGTTGCCTAAAATAGAAAAACAAACTAAATTCACAAGTGATTGTATTTTTATGTTACTCTACATGTTGAATATTTTCAAAATACTCATTGGGGTTATTGTTATTATAGCCTTGTGTGTAACAAATTTAGTCTTTGAAAATATTTTTCCACTTAAATACTTTTAATCAGTTTACTAATAGGAATTAGTTACAAGTAGAGACACTGTAACAATTTTGACGGGGTCAATGTTAACAAGTTTTTAAATAAAAAAATAATATAAAACTCCCACTTTTACAAAGCCAAACAAACCGTAAAGATTTCCCACTGTACAACAGGTACTGAGAAGCTGCGATTGTGAAACTTAACAATATCAACAACAAAATCAACAAAATATATTACTCTAATGAATAAATAAAAAACATATAAATTAGTAAAACATATATTAACAACAACACTTAATACTTTACAAAGAATAAATTAACGAAGAAAATTGTCTAGGAGTAAGTTATACTCTACTAAAATTCTTTCTTGCTTTCATACAATCATTGGTCATGCTGTACTGCATATTTGCTTTTTTTATAAATACAAATTTACATATTCACAATCCATTTTACAATTTTACAACTTAACATTAACAAGAATGCCAGAATGAAAACGAAAGAAGAAACTGTTGACACCCCAACTGTTTTGCGTAGTCCTTAAAAATTGAGTTAATTTGAAAACTGTGTTTTTAATTAGTAAAGAACTAGGGCCAGCTAAACAGATTTCTTAAAGTGAATTTTGTGCTTAAAAACATGATCAAAGCACTGTATTATAAATCATCAAACTCACAACTATCATTATCTTCAAGTAGAACTATGTCACATCATCAAAGTGTTTCAGGGATCTACCTTGAAGACAACAACAGTGTTCATCAGTGTGACCATGTAATCATTACTCCTAGAATCATCAAAAGCTAACAATTATAACTCTCATAGTTATATGAATGTAAAATGATACATAGAAAAAAAATACTAAAAAGTTATTTTACCAAAAAAAAGAGACTTTTGATGTAACTTTAGTATTTTCCTCAAATTAGAAAAGGATGCATCACACAACTAACCCCATAAAGTTTCCCAGACCCAAGCACCTTAAAGGGTATAGAGATTGCACAACCCAGCCTAACTCCTCTCTCAGCCTTTACAAATATCAACAGTATGGTACAATTTGGCAACTATGAATTTTAATCTACGTTAAAATCAACCTTATGACTTGGTTTGACCAACAACTAAATTACATAAATACTATTGTGGCAAAGTTTGTTTAGAGCTGTCACTTCACTGTTGGCCTCAGCATCACGTTTGTTCTCAGCAAGTCTGTTGGCAACACAGTTACAAAGCTGACATTGCTGTCAGAGTCACTGTGGACTGAGGCGACACCTAAACCTCCCCCTCCACCACCTAAACCTTCCCCCACCCCACTGTCTACCGACTCTGCCACAGATAGTTTGTGGGATTTTCCGAAAAAGAATGAATCTGTCGCAATACTCTCGCCTCCTGACTCGCTGGCTCCATCGCACAAAGAATCATCTGTCTCGCTCAAACTCTCGTTCCTTTTTTGGCAGTCAGAATCGCTGCTGAGGTAGCCCGAATCTTCTGTACGGTGAGGAACTTTTGATACACGTTGAGTTTTTCTGATGAAATTAACGTGTCTTTTGTCCCGTTGGTTTTTTGTTCTCGAGGTGATTCTGCGTTCGTGTGCTGCTTCGAATTTCCTCTGCAGTTCTGTTTGTAGCGACATTTCTAATCGGCGTCCGAGATTTTTTGATTGAGTTTCAACAGCTTCGTAGTCAGAGGAGGTCGGGCTGTGGCCAGAAGCATGAGTCAGAACGCCGCGAGTAGCAGATGACAGGTGGGACACGGCCGATAGCTGGTTGAACGCTGCCACTCGCTGACTAATGCTTCTGACTTGGCCGTTTTTTGGCGGCAGAGGGGGTTTGTTATTGCGAGGTGGCAAAGGGGGGCTATCATCCCCAAAACCCACTCCATTTTTTGAACTAAAATGCTCATTCGTGTAAATTGCTTTTGGAGGTCTCGGTGGGATATATTCCTTGGGTGACGGTGGCCTCTGCCGCTTAGCTTGTTTCGCCTCTGGTCTCAGAAGTTTTGGCTTCCCTCTCTTCAGAGACATTGTGCTGTAGCAATCAGTGTCTAGGGATCTCGTCGATCCCACTGGACTTAGCGTTTCTGATCTCACATTTCCATTGCGATGGTATCGATTTTTTGCTTCAAAGATTTCTCTTAGACTTCCAAATGTCCGGTTCAGTGGTGACCCGACCATATTAGGAAAGTTGGATGTATCATACCAGCAAACTGATGAATCACTTCTAAAACTTCCAGTAGTCTTCAGTGATATTTGTGTCGGCCTTTCCAATGAGTCCACATAGGAATCTTTGTTGTACTGGTATTCAAACTGGCCTTCACTATTTATTTTGAATTTACTTGGCTTCCTGTCCAGTGTGTCAGGTTCAAATGAATCAGAATCGTAAGTTCTTTCATAATTTCGAGGTGAATCTTCAACTTCAATTGTGAGATGACCTGGTTCGTCGTATTTTATTTTAGGCTCAGTTGTCTCGTTAGGTAAAGAAGCGCAGGAAGATTCATTGCTTCTTATACTGGATGCACTTCCAAAACTGTACCCATCATTTACGTACACCTCACTTACCAAGCTGTAACCCTCAACTCTAGACAAAATATCTGGCAGATTCAGTTTATTGTTATCAGGGTTCAATAGAATAACTTCATAGTCATGATCATCACTTGTCTCTCTTTTCTGATCGATATCGTTCTTCAGTTTTGATATGGTAGTGTTTCCAGTTTTCTTATTGAATACAGAGTTCCTCATAGTTAGTTCTTCTTCCATAGGTAGATTACTGACATTGTTATTTCTTACCTCCAAACCACCATAATCCGAGGGTGTCCTCATACCCTCACACTCGCGCCCTTCTGATTGCCGGGTTAAAGTACGATCCAAACTGTCTGTATCGTACTCAATAGAAGTCGGGCCTTCCTTTTGCGATGGCAAAGAATCGCTCCTGATCGGTGGACTCGGTTTGGGTTCAAGAGATCTTTGATCTACAAACTCCTTGATGACTGCATCCATGAGGTGTCTGGCAACCTGTGGAACGACCGGTTCATCGGTAGGCTCGGTGTGACTGATTCTGTTGCTTCCTCTGTGTATACTGCTGCACACTGATGGAGGAGGGGGAGATGGAACTTTCATACCGTCTTCATTAGCATCACTGATTGACGACTTGAACAAAATATCGTTCCATGCCTCTTTAGGTTCCACTGATGCGTACTGATCGCTCTTTTTCACATTGTTCTTGTTTTCTGATCCGATTACTTTACCTGTAACACTTGAGGTTTTCAGAGACTGGGATTCTAAGATCTTGTTCAGATCGTCATTGATCTTGTTGATTTCCTCCACTGTGTTTTTGATCAACTGCGTCTTGTTTGATTTTGTCTTGTCAATCAATTCAACTGGTTTTTTCTGCACTTGTTTCGGAATGTCAGGAGCTCTTCCCTTGGTTGATCCATGTTTAGTTGGTTTGTGGACAACTTCCTTGATGACTGGAGCAACTGATTCTGGGACAGTAGGAGGTCGAACATCCTCAAGCCACTTTCTGATGCTGGAATGTTTGTTCTCTGGACAGCACGACTGGCATGGTGGGGGTCTTGAGCAACTGGAAATCACAATAAAATGACATTTTATCTACCTTTAGATTTATTAACTATTTAGACATACATGCCTTAAACAAACTTCAGGATTTATCTTGAAGAATTATTAAATTTGTCTCCTAAATTAATTATATAATGACTGATCTTTATATTAAATTTTATTTATATAGATAGATATGTATCCTTCTTTTTCAATGTTTGTTATTATATAAAAATATACAACTAGAAGAAAAAGATTGATGATAAATGACTGTGTCCTGTCTAGAACAGTGAGAACGAAGATTAGCAAACGGAATGTGTCTTACCCAAAATGTTGTAAAATACATTAAGGGTGAGTTTAAAAATAAATTTGAATGTGATTATGCAAGATTAAGTGTTATTTTTCGATATTGTGTTGATGTTTGGCAAAACAACTTATTTCTTGGACTTTTTGCATATTGTCAGCTGCCTAGAACTCTTTTCTTGGGTAAGTTAGTTGTGCATCCATTTATTCTTTTGAACTCATTTCTAAGCTAAATGCTTTTTCCTCAAAAAATAAGGGACTACTTGTATATCTCACCCTGGACAACCCTCGCAACTCCGTCGTCTGCCCGGGTTCTGTCTCACGGTTACGACGCTGACGCTGCCGGAAGCTACGCTGCCACAACCTCTACCAGCTGTCACTCCATCACACTCTTCAGGGATACCCAACAGACTTGGCAGGAACTTCTTGGACGCCATCTTGTGCTTGGCGATGGCAATCACCTCGCGAATCTTGGTGAGGAATTCAAGAGCTGCTGGGGGAGGTGCCTGAACAGGAAGAAATTAAATTATAACTTGAATAAACGTTACTAAATACTATGTTTAAAGTTCATTGTTGGCGATGATGGTGAATGCTAGTCTATTTATTTAAGAAGTCAATGTACATTTTCAGGTCAGGTTTGTGGCACTGTGTTTCCTAATATAGACAGCTCATTTAATTAATTGACCTATGCTATCATTTTAGATTTCCTTTTGACTCCTTGTGGACTGTGTCCAGTATAGTATAAAATCCCTATTTGCTTGGAAAATAAGATTTTTAGTTTAGACACTTCCCATTCCCACATTTTTTTTGGACCCTATAAGGCCAACAGAAACACAATATATATTGAGACTCACCAAGAGCAGTTCCAGGTCAAAGAAGGCCGGGTTGAAGTACAATTTCCTCCGGGTGTTGGCGGCTGCAATGGCTCTCACAGTTTCTGGCCGATCCTCGCGTCCCTCGGGTGTCTCTACAATGGATACGTTCTCCTCAGGCAATCTCTCAATGGCACTTGAGTCTTGATGGATGTCGGGGAGAACTGAGTTCTCATAGCTAAACATCTCGTGAGTGCACGGATGGACCATGGCACATGTCACTTGGATCTAGAAAAGGTTGAAAAGGTGAATTTCATCAATGGAATACCCAGTTTTTGAACAAAAGTAAATATTTGAGTTTTAATTTGTTTAATTGACCACATTGATAAATTTTGCCATGGTTCAAGTTTCTGGATAGGGTGATAGACATTTCATTTCACCATTCCAAAAGGATATCTGGTTATATGGGGGATTATACTACCTGTACTTGATACCGTATTTTACAGATGGGTTTGTCTCCATCCCTGAGGTTAATTACACTTAATATTTCCGACCAGAATTTCTTCAATCAACTATGTGACTACTTTCATTTAACTGACGAAGTATATTTTTGAAATTGATTGAATGTTTAATTAATTCATGGCTATGGGTCAACAGCTAACAATGTTTTGGTATTGGTTATTAATTAACAGCTGTGTCTAAGGAATATGTCGGCCTTAGTCACTAACAAGACTACAAGATCACGCCACTCATCCTACACTCATCTCCATTCATACTTGGCTTAAAATACCTAATTTGTATGGCTGCCATTTCAATGAAAAGTATAAGTAAGATATCTGAAATCTTTGAGGAATGTTTATTTTAAAGAACGTAAACTAAAATGAATTTAAAACTACAATGAAGAAAAAGTCATTTTTTAAAAATTTTTGAAAGTTTTAGATTAACATTAATACAGTGTAATTTGGAATGTTAAAACACATTTGTAGTGTTACACAGTGTAACACTATTTAATGGAAATACATCCATACCCACTGAGTCGGTGGGTTCAGTGTATTTCAAATACAATACAATACAAAACTAAGACATTCAATACATACAAAGGCATCAATATCAATACTAAGGCATTCACATTTAACTTAGATGCCCTTAAAACTCCTTTAACTAATAAAGACCTAGATGACTCACATTGGTAGGGGGCGGCGTTCCAGGCTCGTCATCAGGCAGTGCTTCAATATTATCATCATCATCATCATTGACACCGGAGCAGCAGTCATCGTCACTAACGTAGCCACTGTTGTCGTGACAATGTCGTAACAGAGGGTTGTTTTTTATCACTCCCTCCTCACCCCCTGCGCCAGGAGGAGGCCCACTCTCATCCCCCTGCAGTGGAGTTAACGCTTCCCTCTTACGCTTCCTCAAATGCAAGTAGAGTAGCACTGAAGAAACATAAACCTGGAATCAAATTTTGTTTCTATAACAAATAGTAAACTTTACCCTTGATTATCTAAATGCTGTAGCCTAAATACTTCATAGAGTACCTATAAAGGATTACACCACATTTTTCCAGCAGTGATTATTTTAGGGGGTGGTTTAAGAAATGGGAACCCAAACTGGCCTCCCCCCCCCCTTTGTTACTTCGGTTTTTTGTCTTTAGTAGAATCCATGGATTCAGATCATAAGCATTAGGTTTTTATCATATTTTCCTTTCCTCTGACCCTCAACCATCTCTGGGTTTGAGCTGGTCAATTCAGCCTCAAGTGTTCAGTAGATTCTACCACGGTTAGGCTACAATAAACACAGAATTTAGTCCTTGATCATTGGGCTTTTCCAAATGGTCCTGATGTCTAAAAAAACAAGAGATCTTAGTCAGTAACAAACGTACAAGAATCCTTTCACCCCATTCTACTCTCATTTTGAAATCACAGTTAGCATAAAATACACAGATAGGTATCCATTGCTATCTCAAAAGTCTAGATAGTGAGAATCTTGTATTTCTTAGACCCACTTAATTTCTAAAACTAATAGACAAAACCTTAAGATAGTTTTTCATGAAAATATTTCAGTACCAATCCGAGCAGTACTGAGCAGACAGCGATGGCGGCGTACTCTGTCGGGTTGGTATTATTGGTTCCTGCATGAGCATCAGCTGAGAAGGAGACCTCTCTCACACCCACCCCTCCACTTCCTGAGGGCAAGTTTGTGTGTGTGACTGGGGCTGATTCCATGCTACCTGTGGTAGAAAACAATTGATGAAGCAAGGTGTGACTAGATATTTTTGAGAAAGCCTAATAATTGTTTTTGTTATTTAGTGTTAAAAGTAAGGAGATTTTTCCATAAAACAAGGTTGGCGTTTATTTTAACCTTGACTTGCCGGTCCATAATTAGTCTCAGGCCTATATGTAGAATGTATCAAGCATAGGGTGAGCCTGTAAAAGAACGAACTAAACTGCATTTTAGTGTTGGACAATCCAAGACATCACTGCCATGGACTCAAGTCTGTCCCAGCAAGCAAGGAATGCCATGGACAATAACCATGGTAATCCTTGCTCGCTGGTCTGTCCCCACTGAGCCACTAACTTACCTAGATAGGTAAGGAAGTTTGGATAAATGGTTACTAAAAGTTAAAAAATAAAAATTGTTTAAAAAATCACCAATTATTGTACGTAATTACAATTAATTTGAGTAAACAAAAGTCGTGATTTTCTGCCCTTTTACTCTAGTTTACTGATTTTAAATGAAAAATTAACAGCTAGCTTATAACCACATAATTGAAGTGGTTATAAATTCACATTATTTTGTGGTCTAGAATTGTTTGCTGTACATAAATTCTTACGAGGAGATCCTGCAACTCTGAAGGCGACACAAGGCATGAAGATGTTGGTGCTGTTCTCCAGATCCTTACACATGAGGTGAACCATCAGTAGCCGACCTTCCATGTGGAGCCTTAACTCTGAGTCTCCCAGCCACTGCAACAGACCAAATAAGATGAATGTAGGAGCATCACTAAGGTGCAAGGGACATCAGGTTGAGGTTGTTAAGGATGACTTTTGGAGGTACTGTAGTGTGGGTTGGGCATTCTCTTTTCCTCGTTCAGGAAATGAGGTGGACATGCATTTCGGTAGTTTCTAGACTTGAAATTTGGAGGTTGTGGAAATAGGAGTGCATGAGGTAGGTTAGAGATGGGAAGATAACGGAGTAATATTATAGTTTGGCACCGAAAACTTTGGGTTGAAACTCCCCTCAGAGTTAGCAAGCTTACTCCTGTTTAAGCCTTCAAAACGGGTTGCCTTTGACTTTTTGAGGCTAGATAGGTGAAGAATTAAACTAACAGTGGAACTGATAATTTGTATTTTCCATGAGCGATTTAGGAAACATTTACATCCAACGAATGGGCTTGTTTGTTGTTGAAAATTTGTAGTCACTGTGGTAGGTCAGAGGAGACAGCTGATCACCTGCTCTTTGATTGTGAAAAGCCCTCTGGTACTAGAAGGATAACTCCTGGCAATTTGGTAAGTGGTGCCAAATACCTTCCCGAGAAGGAATTAATTGGAAGACTACAGGCTTTCATCGGATGCCTGAATCTGTATGGTCTATCAATAAAACAACTCTCTGGGGTGTGCAATAGTTCGACTTTTTGAATGAAGTGCTTCGGTCTCGGCCTGCCCCTGTCAGATAAGATATAGTCTGGCAATGGTGGAAGTGGAGCAGGGACGATGATGGTTGTTGAGGACACGGAGGGCTTGAAACATGTGATGGCTCTTTTCTGTAAGACAGAGAGGCAAATATTACAACTGAATGTTAAAGGGAATTTGGTGTTGAGTTATACTCTGAGGTTAGTGCAGGATTTTTGGGGGTCCGGATTTAAGCGGAAATTATTTAAATAAATAGTACCTATTGGACTCGGTTCCTTCAAATCTGAAAATTTAAAGGAGCAGAGTTGGATTTTATGCCGTTAATGGCAATACAACAGGAAAGGCAGAGAAATGTAGTTTTTGGTTGAGCCAAATGAGCGTGACGTTAGTGGGAGGTCTACAAAGTGATGTCTTCAACAAGCTGAATGATACTGCTGCAAGTGTCGGTAGGGCAGCGGGAAAATTTGAATCTTATAAAAACTCATTGAAGCTGTCTTATGACTTTGTGTCCTCTTCAATGATTGATTCGTTGACCTTTTTATCGTCGTTTTTACCCCTGCTTTTTTATAATAGGTACTAGATTTATCAACAGATGAAAATTAGATCTTATGCCTTACGATGACACACTTGAAGATTCTTACAACACTGAATACAAAAGACTTAGTATACAGCATTTCGGCCAACACAATATTTTTTAACAATATTTAGTTGCTACCTATTTCAAAAAATCTATATCCTCTTTGCTTCATGAGGAATAAGTTTTGTAAATCATAAACTTAAACAAAATTATCTTTACACTGGCAACTTTAAAAAAAAGGTTGGTCAACTCTACCTGAAGGAAGGTCCTCCCTTCATCACGGTAGAGACGGAACGGTGGTTCTGACTGAGTACCGTTCCTGGAACGAAGATCTGCCCAACCGTGACTGGTGAGGAACTGTGACCCGGACACAACACATATCGGTGACAATGAACCTGGGAAAAATACATCACTGTTAAAAATAAAAGATAATTTCACACAGAGATTTCAAAGGTGATAGGGACAAAACCATTAATCCGACACAGAATTCAGGAAATGGTAGCCTCTTTAGTCTTTTTCTAAAATATGGAGCTCAGGAGCCTTTGAAATATGTTGTAATGCTTCAACTTGATGAAGGACATTGTTTTCTGCGATTCAATTGGTGAGGCTAGGAAACTAGCTAATAAGTTATTTTATTAAATTCTAATAATAGAATAGTATTAGAGGTATACCTGCTGGCCAGAATTTTTTACTTCAGATTTGGTCAAGTATGTTAACAATCAGGTTTCGAGATGAAATCAGGTGGGGTCAAAATTGAGTTGCTTTGGAAAATTTTGATTTAAATAAATACCAACTCTTGTACTACAATCAGTTCGAACGACCTGTGCAATGGCGGTGACCGGTGACATTTAAACATTTTTGGCGCTTGTGGAGACATCATCACACTATTACTATTAGTTGCCTGAACTTGACTTGTGCCTCTACCAGCATGTATTTATATAATTTGACTGTGTCTCATGCATTTATATAATGTATATAGGCGAATAAATATCATTTCATTTCATTTAATCTTTCCTTTGTCTCCTCCGATCCCTGATTAGAAGTTATTTATATGGCGCATTCTTCGTAGATGCTTTGGGCAATCCAAAAAATTGAAACCCTCGCAACCGATTAAATATCAGTGAAATTCAGTTTTGGTGAAAAAAATATTCTGTGAACCACCACCAGGTCATGGCCCCTGGCAGGCTAAATTAGTCAAATAGAAAATAGTCTTTTTAAAACTATTTTCAAGCCCCCCCCCCCCAACTACAGAGCCAGCAATAAGATGTTTAGTTTTATATTTTATATCAAATACAGACTGTTTCTGCTCATATAGTACATACATATAGTACATATAGTACATACATATAGTACATATAGTACATACATATAGTACATATAATATGTAATGTGCTGATTTCTGTATAAGAATGCAGGCTTGTAATTCTATATTACTTCAAAATAAACTGGACAGCTCTCCCTTTGACAGTTAAAATTTCAAAGTCTTTTTGTTTGTAAATTATGTTGGAATCCCCTTTTGAAATTCAACTTTGTCTAACACCTCATCACCGGTAGTCAATTATAGTTATCCATAAATAAATATATTTTTTTACAAGTCTGCCTATCCTTATACTTAGGTTAGATTCTAGTTACTGAAATGTTATATCTCTAAAAATTGAAATATAAAATAAATATTCTTCTACCGAGTTTCACTGTTGTGATAAGTTGACATAGGTAGCCTAATTGCTCTCAAACTCAACTTTGAACTTAAAAGCTGTAACACTGTTATTTTAATGGGCTATTATTTTTTGATTAATTTTGAAACTGTTTTGGCCTAGTATGGAAATATAAAATTACTATCACTTAACTAATCAAAATGAAAATAAAAACATATCAATATTTGATAATTTTATGTTTACCTGACATCTTAGAATCAAATAAGAATGATATTTCTCTTCTATCCCAGAGATCAGAACGGTTCATGGCATTTATTTCATACAATAAATTCACATTAGGTGTAATAGCACAGCTTATCTTAGAGGAAATCTCGCGCCCTGTAATTAAGTGATATATTTTGGACAAGGAAAATCCGCCACTTGCTCTGCGTCTCAGATACGCGAGAGGAACAGTTACCCTGGAGCGGTTACGGTACTGGAGCAGATGATCTGTCAGCTGTGAGTGCCCAGGAACCGGAATCACTGGAGCAGTTACACATATAATCGTTTCTGTACTGTAATCTTGAATGCAACCTGTTACATATTACAGTTTTGCAGGGATTCGATTTGTCGATTGTAATTCCACCGCTTACATAACACGGACGATCGCTATGCATTTTACTAAATTTAAAGTACTCATAATTTTATAAGTTTGTTGTTTCTGAAAAGAAATGAAAAAGTAAAACTACAGTAGACACTTACAATGTTAGGCAGTTTTAAAATTCAAAATCGTCGTAGCTGATGTGAGTCCACATATTGTGCTAATCTAAATCCCTAATTTCTGGTACACAGACTTTTGAACAAAGTCAAACTAATGGAATGACTCGGTGAGCTCGCTATAGCATAGCAACTGTTATGAGTAACCGATTCACTTAGTTAGCATCAATAAATAAGGTAGAAAATATAATTTGAGATCCTAGCGAATTCTGTAACTGGCTCACATGTCCTTAGGGTGAGCTATGTTCTTAAATGAACTAAGTTCTTTTTAACAACAAAATGGCCACACACATTCCATATATAGGAGGCCTACTTCAGCATCCAATAGTCAATGGTAGGCTACTATTGGTACTACTCTATGGTATTAGTTAGGCCTATTATTATTATTATTATTATTTCTTATACGCTTCGTGTGGTTTTTACCATTTCAACCAAAAGTCTGGCTTACTAATCGTCACGAAAGACACAAATTGATTGTCGCGTATTTTTTAGTACTTGAATAATTTCCATAAACAATCGTGGTTAATTTCTACATTCATAATTTCCCCACATTCTTTTAGGCTGAACACCTCGGCACCGCAACCACTCAAACTAATAACCTCGCTTTTAAAACGTGTTACAAACTAGCCCACGCAGCAATCCATGCTAGGAAATCAATTTGGCAACAAGCTGCAAGATTTCCATGGTAATTTCACTCCATTCAATACCACATTAACTGCCTGTTTAGCCGTATTTACATGTTACCGCAGTTTAACCGTGATTGTATCTTTCACAGCGTTTGCCGACAGTACAGGTCCACTGAAAGGGTGTCCTCACCAGATGGTAGGATAGTATAGTTAATGGGTACAGGGCACGAGCGCAATGGCTAGTAATGGTGTATAAATATGTAAATGGAAAATGGCTACGCGTGGTCAACATGGGTGGTAGATGTGAAGTGGTGATGGTTAAGGTTAACTACTTATTGATAGGATTGGTTACAGTTTATTAGTTTTAAAGTAGGTTTTAAAACTAATCTTGGTTTAGTTCAATCGGCTGTGTGACAGAGTAACATCACTAAACTATTTGAAATGTCTCAACTCGGTAAATGTAGAGCAAACGTAAACATTCTGGTTTTATTTTTTGTTCCTATGAAGACTAGGCAATACGTAGCCTGATCAAGCCTATTAATCGACCTGATTCATGACCCATGTGTACAATCTATCTATATATATAATACATGAAGCCGTTATTTGTTAACGCAACTCCTCCCTTATTTTTTTACCAATTTCAACTTTTAAGGTGTCAAAAGATTCGTCTCAATATGTAGTTTTGCAATAAGGTTTTAGAATTGTAAAATTCCTACTCTTAAGGGCGTGAGACCCTCTCAAAGGTCGGGTTTTCCCCCATAAAAAATACAAAGAACAAATTTAAAAACAAAAACAGCTGTTTATAAAAAGTAACTCATTATTGAATTGAATTGAATTGAATTGAAAATGTCTTTATTCATATTATATACAGTGGTATACATCGAATGGCGTCATTATACTAAATTACAGCTAACAAACTAATTTCTTTACATTTCCTCCATAAGCCATAAGGTACATATTTAAAACAACAGTTGATCATCATAAACAACAAAAAGTATGGTTGTCAGAGTTCATCAAATTTATATAATGTTTTATTTGTCAAATGCAGTTTTAATTTTTTCTTAAACATGTTTACATATTCAACGTTTCTCAATTCCACAGGTAGCCGTAGTAAAAACTTAGCACCCGCATTTAATGGTTTTTTATTATAAAACTCTAGCCTGTGGAAATCAATGGCAATTTGATTTCTATTTCTTGTAAAATAGGAATGGCTGTCACCTAACCTGGGAACCAGATTGTTTATACTTAGTTTTTTAGCATGAAGTGCTGTGTGAAAAACATATAAACTGTAAACAGTCATTATGCCCAAATCTGTAAAATGCTGACGAACCGAATCACCAAAATTCAAATTCATTATGATTCTTATCGCCCTTTTTTGAAGAATAAGAATTCTATCCAAATTTTGTTTTGATGTACCTCCATAGATTTCAATGCCATAACTGATTGCTGATTCAATTAGAGAAAAATAAATTGTTTTTAATGTATTTACTGAGCAAAAATTAGACATCCTATATAAAGCATACAATCCAGAGGTGACTTTGTTAACTACATGATCTATGTGGAGATTCCATGATAAATTTTCATCCAATGTTAAGCCTAAAAATTTGGTAGAAACAACTTTTTCCAAAGAGTGGTTGTTTATTTTTATTACTGGATTTACTGAATTTTTACTTCTTCCTGCATTGAACATGATAAAATTGGTTTTACTTGTATTTAATAATAGTCTGTGATTATTTAAAAAGTTATGGATACCCAATAAAGCTGAAGAAGAACTATGTTCCAAATTATTTATTGTATTGCTACTAATTTTGAAACTTGCATCATCTGCATATAGACAAAGTGTTTTTGTTGAGCCATTTTGAAAAGAATGTGGAATATCTTTTAGATAGCACAAAAACAACAGAGGTCCAAGGATAGAACCTTGCGGGACCCCATGCTGCATCTGTGCTAGCGAAGAATGACTGGTGACTGTTTGATTATTAATGGTACTTTTTATTTCAACAAATTGTTTTCTATTAACCAAGTATGAGCTAATCCAATTTAAAGTATTGCCATTGATTCCCAGGCCTTTGATTTTGTTTAAAAGAATTTTGTGTGAGACGCTATCAAAAGCTCTGCTCAGGTCCAAGAAAATACCTATTGTTTTCTCTCCTTTATCCACAGAGTCAATTACCGAATTAATGAAATCTATGCCAGCAGTAATAACTGATCTATTTGGTCTAAATCCATGTTGTTCCTTATCATGCAAACAATTGGTTTCTAGAAAATGTACTAACTGATTGTAGGCTGCTCTTTCAAAAATTTTAGAAAAGGTTGGTAATAATGATAATGGCCTATAGTTGGCTAGATTTTGTGCATCTCCTTTTTTGAGGATCGGGATTACCTTTGCAATTTTGAGTTTTGACGGAAAGATCCCACTAATAAAAGAGGAATTGATTAAGTGGACTATTGGTTTTATTAGTTGATTACTTGCTTTCTTTATCACTATCATTGGAACCTCATCATATCCAGTTGAAAGTTTATTTGGAAAAGAACTTAAAATTTTTTTGATTTCAATTTCTGTAACTGGTCTAAATTTAAAATTTTGATTTGTGAAATTATTGAAACATTAGCTTTTTGAAAGTAAATATTAATGTTTGTAATATTTGGTAGGTATAGGTTAAGACCAAGTTAAACAGTTTTCTGTTTGAAGATCAGAAAATGCCTCAAGTTCAAAGAAGAAATATTGAAAACGGGAGGAGGAGACAATTATTAATAATAAGATATCTTATGTGTATCAGGAGAGTAGAAAAAGAGAGGCCTGGTCTAACACATTAACACACACGCACATTTGGTATACACATTCACTTGGTAAGATGAATAATATTTGCCAGTTCTGCTATGCAACTTACTTTGGAAGTGTAAAAATATACGAAGCTGTGTTGTTACAGTGGTAAATTCAACTTGCCTAATTTTAGATAAAATTAATGCATCTAAGAAATGTTTACTTCTGGCACTGACAGATCGAGATATTTAAAGAAATTTTGTAGAAACTATAATAATGCTTTGACTAAGTTCAAGTAGTAAGATTATACAAAATCTTGGCGGACCAGTTAAAACTGAGAGCAGAAATAATGTAGGTGAACCTTGACGTCGCAAATAGAGATATTTAAAATAGTTTCTAACAAGTGTTTAAACAACTCTAAGATGTAACTAGAATTACTCGAATATAAGAATAACGTTTTCCTCGGCGTTATGTTTCATATTACTGTATGCGGCTCATTGAGCCGCACGGGTTCTCTAGTATTAGTATATCCTGTTAAGTAGTTTTAGCTTTTACCGGAAACAAACAGTCAGACAAACGTAAAGAATTCACTTTTTCTACACAAGATAAATTACAGGAACCCTTAATTTTGATAAAAAAAGTTAGCCTACATATAAGCTATTTGGAAATCAAACAGAGTTAGAACTTCTTTTCACTAAAGCGCATAATTACAGTGCTTTAACTCCAAGAGTCTATTCAAGAGTCGTCCAAACCAATTAAACAATGAGAAAGTGTTGGTAGGAAAGAGATTTCTCATCACAAGTTAAGAATTCCTCCAAATATTTAACCACAGTGCACTTCTAAAAGGCATTTTCAAGGGCTTTACGATTATATCTGATTTTATTTGTTAAATTATAATAGCAAATGAAATTAATTACCTTATCTAAGCTATTGCCAGTTACTTTATAGGGTAGAGATAAAGTCAATGCTATTGATCAGACGAAATATTCTTCCTCGGAAACTCCGAGCTCTGGTCGGTTTAGCTTCCGTATTGAAACGTCAACAGTAGCCAAGTCAAGCCGTTACACAAGTAGCTACAGTAGCTCCACAAAGTAACACCCTCACCCTGTTATTACCATGATCACGTATAATGATGCATCATATAACAAGAGACGGGACCTGACCTTACTTTCGTTTTCACACGCACGTGATGTCGGCTTTCTACTATAAACTAACCAGCTTCCTTGGGATAAACCTCCATTGTTGTTTGTAGGCCTACCAGGTCTTTAAAAATCGTGCTTTTTATTGTAAAACAGTAAAAAAATGATGCAATGTGACAATGTAATGGAGTTTGTTACAGTTTCAACCAATTACCCTCTAAAGGTCCCAAATACAAACTTTCTACAGAACTGGTGGGTAGGAATTTAAACATTGCTAGAACGTCTTGAGAGATTTTAAATCACTCAAGCTTTCAGTTACGATAGACGCTAAGCCAACTTCCTCCAATCTCACCTGGGAAGCTGATCTCGGCGCTAGGGTAGACTATCTGGCCTCTGAGGGGAAGGAACACGAAGGGGATCTTCTGTTGAGTCGTGCCGGACTGGAAAGAGGCAAGGGGACATTCTGGAACAAAAAAAAAACTCAAGTCAGAAAAGAGTTCAGTCAAATTCTTATAAACTAAGTCACCTACCAACATCATCATTCATGAATTGCTACAAAATACTAAGTAGCAACAAGTAAGTAAGTAATTTACAATAAGTAGCTGGTATTAGGGATTAGAGTTCACGTAATTTGCGTAACTGGGGGTCTTACTTGTAAGGTTAGTCTTGGTACTGTGCAAGTGGTTGGTATCTGGATACATCGGGATAACGGCAACTTGTAAGGAATATGAGAGAAGGATGAACGACGAATATTTGGTATCATTGAAGTAGACATCCCAGCTATGTCTGTGTTGTACCCATTTTTGGAATCAAGATGAACGTAACAATTATTATTGCACGATTTTTGTAACCACTGATATTAACCTATTATTTGCTACTTATGTATAGTTCATAATGTGACAAAATTGTATTAATGGAGAAACCGTTGGAATAAATAAATAAACAACGTAACTGTGCCGACAAAGTGAGTCAATGTAATATCAAGAGAGGCCACCAAACTATCCTGAAAACAGCTTGTCCATGTTTTGCGACCCATAAACTATAGTAAATACATTCAAAAAAGGGTATACAATTAAGTCAGCAGATCATTGTCAGTGACCCATTCGACTAGTTTTGTTTAAGTTACAAAATATACTAAAGCTAGTCTTATACATGGGATGTCTAGTTCAGTTTCAAAAATAAAAGACAATTTTTGAAGGTCGAATGAATCATGTAATAGCTTTGTTAGTGGCCAAATTAGCTTACCCTTAAACAAGGATTATTAATTTATCAAAAGCCTGTCGCCTGTCGATTAATACTTGCGTCTATCACAAAGCTACATAGGCTACCTTTCCCATGATCAAATAATCTGTCCGGCGAACTACTGATTACCGACATGCTTGGTAATAACCAAGCAGATGCTGTCCCCAAAACCATAGACCGTTGATAAAACACGGATTAAAACCGAACCATAACCAAATCTGGCCCAGAATCTCGTGAGCGTGATTTGTGCGTGTTTCGAAGGTCGGTTTCTACCGCGGGTCCCACAGTCGTTGGGAATGTCTGCTGACCCATGAGAGATGGGGATTGTGTCTCACGTACCGTAGATAAATAAAAGTACATTCACTTTCACTTATACGTGCTTGGATTTTGTTGCAAAATATAATAATAATTTGATCAATTTCTCTCAGAGTGAAGTTTTAGTGAGTGTTCCATATACCACCGATAAATAGTAGGCTATTCAAAGTTGTATTGAATCTTTTGCCTATACACTGGGTTTTCTTTTACTTATCTTTGTAGGCGTTTGGATTTTGTTTGAGATTTCTCGGTGGTTGGAGTAGACCTTAGTCTATAAACTATAAAATTAGTTTATAAATGTCTCTGATAAATGGAGATAGTATACCACGTAGAATCGATGAATAGTCTACATTTACTTTCACTTAGACGTTCTAGGGTATTCAGGGTAGGATCCAATTTAAAGTGACCTTATCGATTTCCCTATCGAATGTCACGATGTCCGAGATATACAACAAAGTGTATTGTAACCATTGTAACTCCAGAAAGTCTAAACTACTGGTGCAAAACCCATTATTTTCCCCACAAAATAAAATAACACCACATTTTATTTACACGCTCTATATTTTTTTCAAGACAAACAAAAAGTTTAAATTCTCGATACAATTTAAAGTATTTAACTAAAAAACTTACTCGTCGACATACGAAGACCAGTCTACCCCAGGGCTCTGGTCCAATTAAGATTCAAAGACGAATCCCACCACAAACAAGTTTACTCTTCTAACAAGTAAAAAAAATCAGGACAATTTCTAACATCAAACGGTTGCGTTTAATTGGGCGGTTTTAATCGAACCTCGAAACGAAATAATTAAAGATAAATCAAGGAAGACGTTGTTTGGTTCGTGCAGATATGTTAATCAGAGGATTCAGTTGTCAACGAGTTAATTCAGCGAATCGTTATCCTACTACCTTTATCGAAACGAGAACATCGATTTTGTTTTGACTGGAGGATTGTAATTCGAATTTAGGGCAGTTCGGTGTTCTGAATATATTAGTGGGCTTACACTCAATAAAACAACCTTCCTCGCGTTTGGAGGTTCAGTAAAACCGAAAACCTGAAGAATAATAATTACTTGAACTGGTCTCGTAATGGTGGATTTACATCGTGCTGCGAGATTTCAAAACAGAAACACGAGTTAAACATGTCTAATGTGTAAATGGAGATTTTCCTTCACGGGTTAATAATTAATGGATTAATGCAGTCGAATGAATAAGGGAGTTTGAATATAAGCATTGACTCTGGATAATGCTAGAATACACTTCTCGTTCTTTTTTAAAATCCGTAATATGTTTATTTCATGTTTACCTATTGGGTTTGATGATGATTGTAGTGTTTTGTTGAATAACTTTTCGCCCATCCAAGCTTAAAACTTCCTGCCTTATGATATAGTAGAACAAATCTTATTAAATCTTTGGTTTTAATATGAAAGAACAAGCATTTGCTCACAAATAAATCATTCTGATTGATAAATTTACAAGAGTGTTAACAAATATTTGATTATATGCAGTTATTTTATCAAGACAAAGGTTTATTGGTTTTGTATGTAATTTTGACTCTGTTAACAGTAAAAAACAGGTATGCCATTCTAAATTTGAACAAAACCATATGCGTTTTCTCGGTAGTGTGGGAATATTCATTACTTAATATAAATACCGGTATATTACATGTTATTGCCTGCCAGGTGAACTCCTGGGTAATTTTATGTTCGTTCTGAGAGACGTAAATAATTTGATATTTACAGCCACTTACTGATAAATTTATTTACCGCTTTCACAATTTACTGGCTCCTTAATATGTCTACCACTTTTCTACTACATTTCCTGTGTGCCTTCTGCTGGACAAATTCAAGTCAAACTTTGAGGTGATAATTTTAATCGAATTTATTTGATCATTGAATCCATGTATAATAATGTTTAATCGGTTTCTACAAACATTGTTTGCAATACATTTTTCTACCTTATAATAAACATCCCGAAATGTAAATTACGTAGGTAGCACGTGTGAACATACCTTCAGGACAGAGAATTCGAATAGAGGAGATGCAAGGGACTAGACAATAGAAAATAGAAAAACTCACAGAAAAGGTCTCATATTTTCCCATAGGATGGAAGATTACTCTGGACCTTTTAAGGGTATTGGTTCAATCCATTTCATACGTTTATAAACAAGAAACAAAAAATGACACATAACATTTCCCCAATTTTAAAATTCGGTGATTTTAAAAGCTTTAAAACTGTATTGTGTAAAGTTTACAATCACATTTTACCCATAGGCCGTTCTCAGACGTTTTAGAAAACTTCACCTAATCTGCTACCGGATTAAGTCCGCTATGTAGGGTTAATTTATGAGCAGCTCCTAAGTTACAATTTAAATATAATGGCGGACGGTCGAATCGCACGTTCACGGATCGAGGACCAACTCGTCCCATAAATATGTGATGTGTGAATTGCTTGTCTCGCTCTCCACGAGCCGGTAACCTTTACGCCACCTGTGATTTACAAGCTTATATATATTTCGAGAAGCCATTAAAAGTAGTCTGGGTCAAAAGTTTAACTTGATTTATAGGGTCGCTGGTGGAAAGGTAGGATTTTAGGGAATATATTATCGCAATGTTTTTGATTCGTGGGATAAATCATTCGTTCATATATACTGTTTTTGGATTGGCGATTCATGCTACTACAGTACTATAAAATAAATGTATTTTTTAAACAATTGTATTACGTTAGTGTACTGAAAGTCTAATATTTGCATAAATGAAGAGCAAAGAAAATGGAGAATCAATGTACATGTCAATGGGAGTAATGGAGAGTCTGTAAATTAAAAAAAAAAACAATAAACCGTATAAAATCAAAGATGAAACACACACTCGTGATAGGCCTTCTACATTTATTATTTAGGACCAGCTGAAAATTAATTTAATCCATGTTTCTCTCCAGCATTTAGGCACGATTTAGCATTTCTTGCATATTTAATTTTTTCCTAATTTTAAACTATTCTAATAAAACCCGACTTCAACTTTTGCTTTTTTGGTATTATCAAAACTCCCACTTTAAAATTCACCCTGAAGTGAAAGAGAAAAATTTTATCCAAATTAGCTTACTCAAGCATGCGTAACCGGGAATGAAACTAATAATTTGAAAACAGACTTCAGAGCTAACTGTTGGGCGAGAAGTCTGCCAAAAGTTTACAAAATCAATTAATAAACTTCGTAATATCAAATTTACGAATGATTGAAACAAAGACATCCAGGAATGATAACCCATCATATTTTAGTTTTTCAACAGAGGTTTAAGTTTCGACAAGGAGCGTCACTCAACAGAGCATCTTTTAAATACCGTAGAAGTTATTTGAAAAACTAAAACAGAAATACGGTAGTAGTATTAAAGAGAATTTCTTTCATTTTCAAACACGCAGTAGAATGGCGATCGGTCGATAGTTAGTTGCATCACTTGTGATCGGCACACACGCTTTCCTCGACGGCACTGCGGCACTGACCCCCACGACTAAATGGTCTTTAACCTCTTCCACAACTATAGAGTGACCAATCGAATTTTCTTCGGATTCTTTTCCGAATCTCTCCCGTCCGGGAGTGACCTCTATCCGCTGCTCTAATAGACACACGGGCTGTCTGATCTATACCACTTGACGAGAGTGTGGTGTAAGAAAATCGGTGAACATAAATGCTCAACTTTTGACTACCCATGCTCATGAACTGGTACGTGCTAGACAGCTGATTTTAAAAGGGTTGAGCACATAAAACAACTTTTGATTCCTTCGGAAACCTTTGAATAATATTTAATTAGGTTAAACAGGTTAAACCTATATGTGTAAGGGGTTTGTAAAATGATCACTTGTCGGTCTACGACATGGTTAGGACTTCTAACTGATTGCTCAAATATTTCCCATTA